TTGCCGCCGCCGTTGCCGTTGCCATTGGCGGGCGGGCTCCCGGCCCCCGGGGCCGCCGGGTCCTCCATGCGGCTCCGGTCCGGGCGCCGCTCAGCTGCTCGGCGCTCTCTGCCAGAGGCGACCCCGCCGCCGCGCGGGCCGGCGGGCCGGCCCCGCCCCCTGGGCAGCGATTGGCTGCGGCCGCTCTCCGCAGCCCCGCCCCGCGGCGCCATTGGCTGTTCGGCCCCGGGGAGCGGGGCTTGGAGGGGGGCTCTTTCCAGGGAACAGACCTGGTCTTTTTCCCTGTCCTGCGGCGCGGCCGGGAGCAGGGGGCTCTCGGGTGGGCTCCCAGCTCTGCCTCCCCAATTGTGGGCCCGAGCTCAAGGCGGTTTCCCTTTGCTTCTCTCTCGGGGCCCCTCAGCACTCACCTCCTCCCAAAGAGCGACCTTTTCGGGGAGCTCTGTTCTTCACCTCCCGCTCCACTGCGGCTGCTTCCCCGTGACCGCAGACCTCTGCCCCCACTGCTCCTGCGTCCCAAACCCGCTTCCATCGCAGGGGAGGGATGGGTGGCCAGGGACCCCGCAGGAAACGAGGGACTCGCCCTCTCTGGAAGCTGAGGTTTCTGAAGAGAGCTCATCCGCTCAGAGGGAGGACTTAGCTGGGAGCCTGGGGTGCACAGGTGAGGTGGGGGGGGGGGGGCGTTTTCGCTTCACTGACATTGCGGGTGCCTCTCAGGGCTGCTCCCGGTCACCTGCCTTCCTCTGCAGAAGCGGGCACCTCACGCTGTGATCTAGGGCTGTGATCTAGGGAGTTAAGATGGTACGGAGAGCAAGCGCTCCCGCCTCACCCTCACTCACCCCGAGTCTTTTTAAAAAAATATATTTTATTGATTTTTTACAGAGAGGAAGGGAGAGGATAGAGAGTTAGAAACGTCAATGAGAGAGAATAATTGTCGACCAGCTGCCTCCTGCACACCCCCCATCGGGGATGTGCCCGCAACCAAGGCACATGCCCTTGGCCGGAATCGAACCCGGGACTCTTCAGTCCGCAGACCGACGCTCTATCCACTGAGCCAAACCGGTTTCGACTCACCCCAGTCTTTTGCTTCATTCTTCCAAGATCCTTCCCGGGGGCAAATGAGGCTGCGTGGCTTGCCCACCCTGGAATTTATCTTAAAAGCAGGAAACGTTTTGGCAGTCTGGGTTGGCAGTAGTAGCCCCAAGGAAGTAGCAGCCTGAGGAGAATGGGTGGGAGTGGGGACCCGCCACTCTTTCCAGGCACTGCACCAGGGGCCTTTCAGGTGTATCACACCTCCCGCTGACAGGTTGTTTTCACACATCACTGGTGAGGAAGGCGGACCTGAAGAGATGAATTAGTCCTTGCAGTTCTCAAGGCATCAAATTCTACCTTGTTTCAGTGCCTTCAAATGTGCTGTTCTCTCTCTGGAGGGACTTTCTGTTCCTCTCTTGGCTAACTTCAGTTCTTCCTTACAGATTCTATTTAGTCATCACCTCCTCTTCCAGGAAGCCTTCCTTTGACCCTCCTCAATCCTTTCAAGCCAAGTCAGCTGGGTTCCAAAATCCTTCTATTTTCCACTATATCCCAAAGGGGAGGGCCTGAAGAAGCTACTCCACTGTTTACTTCTTAGGGACAATTCTGTTCCTTTCTTAACCCTATCTTTCTTTCTCATTTTCCTCTGCTAGCTAGTAGGGATAGGTAAGGCAGAGCTGAGAGAGGGAGCCGTCCTTGGAGCATTCTCAATTCCCTTTTTTCCCTGGTCCCCAACATCTTCTTATTGCACCCTCTCACCATTTCCCCTTTCCTTTCTTATACCCACCTCTCACCCTCCACCTACAACCTGGATAAAAGCTGGAGAGTAGAGCCAAGTTTAATTCATTTTTGTATGCCTCGTTTATGTATTGTTAACACAGGGTTTATGTACTATTGACAGAGTTATTTGTTGTGGGGCTGTCCTGTGCATTGTAGGATGTTTAGCAGAATCCCAGGCCTCTCCTCACTAGGTGCCAATAGTTCCTTCCCCCAAGGATGACAACCAAAAGTCTCCAGATCCTGCAAAATGTCCCCAGAGGGTTAAGACTCACTGGTTCAGCAGAATTGAATTCATATGAATTTCCAAGAAAGTCCCTGGCTCAAGGCTGAAACCATTTGATTTTGGAATTCTTCTCAGGGTATAATTTGTTAAACTCTTAAGGACTCATACTCTGCTTTAAAATTCACAACCTACGCCTAGCTCATCACCGCTTCAGTGTGGTAAACCTGCCACAGCACAGCCCATTAGCCTTTCTTAATAAAAGAATCAATTATCCTACCTTCCCTCTCCCCAATACCTCTCCTCCTAAGCAGTCAGAGCTCTAAGTGACAGGCCCAGAACTTCATGTTCTCTTTTGTGAGCCTCGTCAGACGGCAGGATCCCCTCCGGTGGAGGCAGGCAGGACTGGCCGCTTTGGAGGCTTGTTCCTTTCCAGCCCAGTCACTAGGGCAAAGGGCAAAGTGACCTTCAGTTGAAAGTAGGATTGAGGACTGCTCTCCCGACCCCTCTGGCCCCTACGTAAAGCTTTTTGTTGAGTCTAGAGCTCCACCTGGCTTCACTTTCAGAGAGGGTTTTGAAAAATTGGTATTGTGGTGTTTGCAAAGAATCAACATGAGCACAGACCTCAATCCATTATCTTTTTCACAACTAGTGAAATGGAAGACAGTAAAGGTCAGACATCTCTGCATTATAGGTCCAGACTTTGTCATAAGAGGGAGCTATCTGGAGACAACTCCTGGAAGAAGTAACAAAAAAACAGATTAACTGAAAACTTTGAAACTTCCTAAGTCATGGAATTGGCACACACTCCCTCTCTTTTGTCAACAATGAAGTGGCAACAATCATTACAATTAACCATAGAGGTGACCATAAATATACCGGGGAGATAATTAGGGGCTGGTCTATAAATTTTTCTATCTTTGCAGAGATGGCCCCATGCTGTTATTTTTAAACTTCCAAAAATTCAGGATCCTGAGCCACTGGGAGAGAGAGGGCTGGAGGTATAAATAGGTTTATTACAAGGACCAAATATATCCTTCTCCATGTAAGTACTCCACTATAACCCATGGAGGTCAGATATATGATTGGAGAAAGTTTAAAAATAAGATGCAGGAAGTCTTAAAATACCTAATTTTTGAGGATATCAGGCAGCCAAGGTAAAGTAGTAGAAAAAGGATAGAACACCCTCCTCTCTCAAAAGCCACGTGTGGGTGTAATGAGAAAACACCTTGCATTCAGAACGTAGAGCTAGTTTAGGCTACCAACTAAAGGAGCTGGCTACCAGAAGCTGCTCAGAAATGGCTGCTCTACTGGTAGTTGAGGAAGAACAGGAAGTTACTGATTGAGCCGGGCAAAACCTCTGCCAGATTAATTTCTTTCTTCCCTTTGGTTGTATGTTGTCAGGTCCTGGATGTCAGGGTTGTTTGGTCCTAAACTCTTGGATGCTAGCTTCTCTGCTCTCCAGCTAAGGGTAGTACACAGGGGGCTTGGGGAATTTATAAAGATGCTTTAATTTCTCTGCCTTAAGCCTACACTTCTCAACTCCCCAGTTCTGAGAAAGCAGTATATTTATACATGCAATGGAGGGGTGGGGTGGGGGAATGTTAATTAGTGGAATGACCCATCATGGAATAGGGTTTCAAGGCTGATGCCTATTGGTAACCGCTTCAGTTTGTCACATCTTTGCCCTACAGCAAGCTCTTTAGCCTGTTGCCCAGAAACCTCTCTCATCTCTGTATTAGTTCATAGAAGCAAAGAATACTCTCAAGACAGGAATCCATTTAAGAATATTTTATTTATCTCTTCAGATTACATGTTCATTATTGCTGATCTAATACAATCACTTAGACATAAAGATTTCTAAGAGCCTCTTCAGAAATGGTGATCCTTAGAGGTTTTATTTCCTTTCAGTTAGATGACAATGAGAACTAGATGGTTATATATATATATATTTATATATATGTATGTATATATAGTTTAGAACTTGTTCATATATGATTTGCTGGTGTTGCCTATTTTCTTCCAATAATTTTCCTTAATTAAAAAAAGCTTAATGCAACAATGCATTTGAATTTTTTTTTTTAAACTGTGACAAAGTTAATTTTGAAAAAAACCATAGGAGCAGCAATTTTAGATCTGTTCAGAGAAAAGCTAAGCAGCAAAAAAGCTTTGCAGGAGTATATGGCCATGGGAGCCGTGCTCAGATGGGAGGATAGGATGAGGAGGTAGGACGGCAGAGGGAGTGTACCAAATATGTTTCTTTAAAAAGAAGAGAGAAAGAAAACAATTTTTTCATTAAGAAGACAAAAAAGACCTTGAAAAGTAGCACAAATTCATCACAGGGAAAATGGTAAGTATTCCCGACAGGCCAGGGCCACATAGAGAGATAATTAGTTTTCTTTCCCATGCTTCCAGATACCTAGGATGCGTCTAGGTGAGAAATTGAGGGAAGAAGACACATTTGCTCTGATTCCAAGGATAGAGGAAATAATGACCAAATTTCAACTAAGAGAGAACCCAAATTCTCAGGAGGCCTGTCCCTCCTTCTTCTCAATGACTGACAACACAGGATCCCCAGAGAGAAAGGAATTCAGAGGCAAATACCTCTTTATGGACAGCAAAACTACAATAGCAACGTGACCAAAAGCCCAGTGTGGCTCCTTTTTCATTTGGAAGGGCATGTTCCGTCAGGATCAGCTCAGAGAAAGCTCCATGGAGAGCCAGGCTTTGCTGAGAAACAGCAGGTTATGACTTTTGATCTAAGAACATAATAGGCTAGAGTTTAGATATCTGCCTAAGGAATTTTCTCTAGATATAAGATAAAGTACAAAGATCTGAATATTTTGCAAAAGGGATCCAATTAATACAAAAATACCTGGGTAAGCAAGAAAAAAAATTAAATAGCCTCGTGGAATTTTCAGCATTTATGATCTTCGTCATGAAAGAATATAGCCATGTATGTGGCTTTTTCCCAGTACTTGCTAAGACATACGGCCTTTGGGTAATCAGACTGTATGGGCTGAGCCTACATGGAATCTAATGAAGCGAACAGTCATTCCCCTACGGTCCTCCTCCCTGCCTCCAGAAGGAAGAGCGCTTCCAGAGGTACACAGGAGGAGCAGGGTAATTTGGAGAAGGTGGAGGTTGGGGAGGAGATTAGAGTGGGAAGGTTACAGTGACCCTGGATAGTCTGGTGTTTTCTTGAGTCACCTTGGTCTCAACTTAGAAGCAGACCAGGATAGGAAAAAACAAAACAAAACAGGAAAACTAAACAAACCTGAGAGTCTAATCAGGGTTGGAAGGGGGGGAAGGGGACTCACTTCATTCAAGATTTGTAGGGCCAGTACAAATCTAGACTTTTAACTCTTAGATCCAATCTGGTTCCATTGGAACCCTAAGACCAATAGGTCTGTCTCCAAAAGGAATCAAACTCTTAGGTGGGACATAAAATTTCAGGCTGCTCACATTATTAATTGTTTGTAATGTTGGAGTTACTGAAGAAATGACAGGCCCATAAGATGGAAAAGGCCAGAACATAGTAAGATATCCCAACAGAGAAGAAATACAAGACTAAATTACATAAACATCAGATTTCAGTTTCATCAACAGCTGAATGTCTGATAAAATTCAACCTAACCAAACTGACTTGATCATCTGGACACAGTTCACAATGTCATCTCTATACAGTTAGTTAAGCTGCAAAGATCTTCCCAGGAGACAAATAAATACATTCTGCTTCTTTAGGGTGTCAAGCTGTGGGCCTGAAAGACCTGTCCCATTTCCAAAGCCATACACTCCAAATCCCTTGGGAAGTATGCCTTCCCCTGCTCAGTTTCAGGCAACAAGAGGAAGTTTCAGGAAGTAATGTTTCGCATTTCTGAGACTGTCACTTTGGAGACAGCTTCCTGGGAAACCATCCAGTTAAATGACAAGGAAGTAGAACCATGGGCCCCAGTAGGGCTGCCTCCCACTTCCCGAGCAGAGAGGGCAGTTGGGTTAGAAAGATGGCTAAACAAATGTCTGACAAATATCAGAGATGCTGAGGAAATAACGGAAGCACATTCCTCTTGGAACCAGAAAGCGTTAAAATGGACAGAAGTACTTGAGATGAAAGGAGTCCCGGGTACAGGAGACTTCCAGTAAGCACAGGATAGCTGAGTTCTTGGGGCTGCTTGCCAAAGCCCTAACAATCCTTCCCAACCAATTTATAAAGAAGGCAGTGACAACGATGATGGCTGGGAACCCGGGCCATGTTAATACAGTGGCTTCCAAAAAGCCTCATCTGGGGACAAACCAAAGCTGAGAAAAGCAGCTGTTGAAAATGCAACCCAGAAACATCCCAGGAAACAAGGATTCCGGAATCCCGGGACTAACTCCTGAGGCTGAACAAGAGAAGAATGACCGCCGCTAAGGCTTCCGTCAATGGAAAATAATGCAAAAGCTGCACTAGGAATGGTTACCCATCCCTCTCCTTCCTCAGCCTGTCCTCCGCGGCTCTCACAGCCCTCGGGGCAGTAACCACTCTGGGCCAAGGCGACAGGCGCAGGACTCTAGATTTTAATAAATAAATAATCTAACATATAAGGTGAGCACGGCGGGCAGCTGATTAGAGAAGCAGCTTGCTGGGTTCCTTCCTGTATAGGAGTGGAGAAAAGGCTTGGAGTTCTATTCCTTAAAACTTCTTCTGGCTTGAGTTACAGGAACTTAATACCTGGAGGGGAAAAAGAAAGATGAGACTGTGATGTTATCAGCTTGTGGGGATGCTGGGACATGAAGTGCCTGCTTAGAGGTGTACTAGGGAGGCAGGGACTTTTCTGGAGTCTATAGTGAGGGTACATAATTGTGGTACTTGTTCACATCAGTAAAAAAAAGTCAGTATTTCTTTATAAAGAGGTAAAAATCATATCAAGAAGATGAAATGAATAAAGGCAAATTCAGGGAAGGGAACACTAATGTCTTGAAAAACCCTCAAAGAGTCTTTTGGGGGTGGCAGTGAGGGAGGGTGGGTTTATTTTTGAGTCCGTGTAAATATGGTGATGATGCAAAGACCAATTCGGTCTTCACCGCCCAGACTCCCCTGTTTTCTAGGGAACCCAAGGCACCTGTAGTAATTCGGCTTGAAGGGCCCATTCTTGTTGAGTCCCAGATACTTGGCCTGCTCATCTGTCAGCTCTGTCAGGTGGGCATCAAAGGTGGGCAGGTGTAGGCTGGCCACGTACTCATCTGAAACAGAGCACAGAAGCCCTGGCTTAGGCATTCATGCCTCTTGTCTGGCTGTTCTCACCATGTTAGGCCTTAAAAAGTTGAAAGACACTTTCTAATTCTTGGAGCTGAATGAAAAATGCTTAACTTTTGCTCACTGGCCCTTACTTCTAAGGAATGATTGTTTGAACTTTGAACCCATAAACTTTTCAAAGCCATTACCTTTCTTTCTTCAAGCTGCTTTGGTCTTGGACCTTTCCTTCTTCTCAGGGAGAAATGAAAGAAGTAGGCCTTTGCGTCTAAAAGCAAGGATGGGCTAGTGGGAGGACTAAAAAATGGGAAGCTCCAACTTTAGTTCTGCCTCAAACTCTATACCTTGAGTCACTCAGAAAACTAACATCTGGTAAATCTGAAAGGAATGACTAAGAATAATACTACACTGTCGGTCTTACTTTCAGTACATTTAGTTATCTTATGATTTGTTTACATTCTCTTTCCTGAATGCATATTACTTATTCAAAATTCTATGACATTTCCTATGTATTTGTTTGGTCTCCCTAATTTCACCGGATATTCAGAATATGGTCTACTCTATTTCTTTTATAATCTTCCAAAGTGTCTACTCAAGGAAAACATGTCAACTTCTAACAGCTGCTTTGCATTTAGAGCTAAAGCAAAATGAAACCAGAGCTGATTTATTCCCCGATCTTTGTGTCAGGAGCTTATAAACACACTGTTTCAGTTCAGGAGCTTGCGGTAGGTTCTTTAAAAATTTAAGACAGTTTAATGTTTCTCTTATACAAAACACCCACATAACTAAACTCGTCATAGAAGCTGTTCAGAAGCTTTCTTTTGGCCTGAAACAATGGGCTAAGAGTTAGAAGGCGTAGTATGAAGGTGCTCCTGGTCTGAGAGTTTGGTAGAGGCTGCCTAGAACTGGAATAAGTCAGATGTTGCAAGGTAGGAGATGATTCCTCTCTTGGGGAAAATTTTTTTCTTCTTTGAGATTCTTACATACAAGATATTTGATGAGAGAAAACTCTTAACATGCACAGACAGGTAAACAAAATCACAGCAAAGTGTCATGACTTTACTGGAGCAACCCATGTGGAACATGGGATCAATTAGCTGAGGATGGAACCTAGGAATTCTAGCTCCTACTTTACATGATAAACATCTCTCTCTCTCTCTCTCTCTCTCTCTCTCTCTCTCTCGCTCTCGCTCTCGCTCTCGCTCTCGCTCTGGCTTTTTCCTGTCCTTAAGAAACATAATGCTCCCAAACTTCAGTTAACCTCTGATTCTGAACTACTTTGGTAAGGATGGGGATGGAAGAGCACATACTTACCCATTTTCTTGGGCAACAGGTAGACATCCTGCTTATAGCGACCCTCAGGAGCATTGTAAAGCTCTATCAAGGCAAGAGCCTAGAAAAACAGAGAGATGGAAGCTGATGTGCCATTCACAGCCATCCACCCCATACCAAGTAAACCCTGATGGTGTCAGGATCCTCTCCAGGCCATTCTGGAGGCCTTACCTGAGTAGTAGCGGTAATTGAGAGCACAAATGTAGGCACTGTAGAGCAGCTTAGGTTCAGCAGACGGCCCTGGAGAGCAAGGATTATGACACAAACTGGTTAGAACCAAGTCTCCAGCCTTTGAGGGGTGAGGGAAGAGCATGCCTGCAGTTTCCAAATACTTCCCAATAACATTGCTGGGCAAAAAGCAGGTGTTCAATAAACAGAAATTGATTGACATTTAAATGAAACCATAAAAAGTTCTGGAGAATTTGATGAAGGAAGCAGATAAAAGATCTCTGGATTATGTAAAAAAGATAGTCAGTCACAGATACTGAGTCTTAGGCCAGCCTTTCAATTTCCTACTTTCTACAGCGGAATATTCTCCTTCCAAGGTATTGACATTCTTTTAAAAGACTGTTGTAACCAATGATGTAGTCTAATCCAAGGGAAACTCTCCAGACTAAGAGAAAATATTTTTTATTTTTTTATTTGGGAAGCTGTGATGATTTTTGTGTTCTTTCTCAGTTTGGTTCCCCTAAACTCAAGGGCTACCCTGTATTTTGAGTGGATGATTCAGAGACTAGAGGAGCTAGAAACTGTCCCCAATGCCATCCTTTCCTACTTCATTACCTAGAAAGCTTGGCAACCTTTTTTTGCTCAACCACTGGCACCAAAAACAATTGGTGACTTGCTTTTGTCACAAGAATGACTAGATGGACCTTCCAGGGCAACGAGAAATCAGTCACCAGACAGTGGGCTGACATCAAAGCAATTAATGGATATTTAACAACCTGTCCCTCCTCTCCCTGTACAATTCCTTTCTTGTAAAGAAATAATTCAGTCCCTTTATAGATCTGTAAAGTATCTGAGAAGGTGAGATAAGGTGAGGAAAGTTAAAGAGAACAGGAAGGATACTCAAACTTAAAAGGCCAATGAAAGTCAAGACAAAGTCTGAGTTAGAAGAAGCCAGGAGAGGGAACTATCAATCATACAACCAGAATACAGCTGAGTACATACTGCATGTTTGGCTCAGTTCAGGAGCATGAACACTCAAAAATGGAATCTATCATAAAGACATGACCTACGCAGAGCTTGCCTAAGATAGTCTTAGTTATAGTCAGGAATATCTACTTGGTGCTTTCTGATTAAATCATCCCACAATCAACACTACCTCTTTGTAAGCATCACTCAGAGTGGCATGGGTTCTATCCATTAATTTCTTACAGTAATAGTCATTATCTGACTCAGCCTGTAGAGTGACATAAAGAGACAGGATAATTGGTGAAAAGTGGGGAACCAAAATAGTTTCTTAATTGCTAAATGAAAAGACCTTTCACAGTTAGATGTAAAATCCATTGGTAAAGTAGTTAAGCTGTGCTAAAGAGAAGTTGAAAAGTATGAGAGAACATGAGGAGGAGGAGATCTGAGCACTGCAATCTCTCCTGTCAGAGCTGAATCTCTCTTACCAGCCTCAGGTCTTACCTCTGCCAGCAATACTATCCTCTTGCCATCAGGCCATATTACATGGTCAACTTGGGACCTCACTCGCTCCCAGGTCAGTTCTGGTGTCCGCAGACTCGCCTGGAATACATACAGCAAGCACATCATCAGCCAGGCCAGGTCCCACTTGGTGGACGAAAAGTGTTGAAGAGAGCCATTTCAAATAGCAAGTTGAAAGGAGCAACCAACATGCTAGATAGAGAATACCTGTCCTGGGTTGGTTAGGACTGTTCCATTTCAGGAAATTTAATCTTAGGCCCAGCCAGGGAGGGATCACTCAGGATGTCATTCCACAACATATACAGTACGCCCACTCTCTGCTGAGCACAGTAAAAGGTGCTATGGGAAATACAAAAGAAACCAAAGACGTGGTTTCTGCCTTCAAAAAGCTCTTATGTTGGCTAGGGACATAAAACAATACATATGTGATGGGGGGAAAGCCTTTAAAATACTTACAAAGCAACATGCAAACAAGTGCAAATTAATACAGTGCAAACTGAATACATAAGTGCCAAAGAGACACACAAAAAAAGGAGGTTCAGAGCTGAGTGAGATTAGTTAGAGAAGGCTGAACATCCTAAACATAGCATGCTAGGGCCCAAGTTCTGCCCTCATGTCCCAGTGTCCCAGGTTCCACCTTCTGAATGATGGTGGTTCACCCTAAAGTTACAGAAGCTCTGTGACCTCAGTGCACATGTGAAGTAGCCTTTAGAGAAATGCTTAATGGTAGAATAAAGCTCCCGATGGGCTCACCCTCCTTCCATTTCTGTATATTGTATATTCCGAGAACAAGAGAAGAAATGTTAAGTTTATTAACAGCAGCAATCAAATAACAGTAATAAGGTTAAACTGAAGACAACTTCCTTCTTCCAAAAGGCAATGCCTAAAACAGAAAGTCCATATTCTAAGAGCACCTATTGGATCATGGTGGTAAAATTGAGTATTTCTGCCAAATAGTAGTTTTCAGACAAAGAGAAACACTTCAGTTACACAATAATAATTCACTGAATACATACTATATTCTAGATACTGAAGTAAAGGACACTATTATAGGTGAGGCTATGGACTCCTCTACTAGAATGTGAGCTATTTCTGGATAGGGAATGATTCTTCTTTACATTTTCAGCCTACTGGGAAAGATAGACACATAATGATACGTCAGTATATTCAGGATATTATTAATGGTCTGGGTCCATTTATAAGGTAAATGGGAAAGAAATAAATTTACTGAAATGTCAAGTTCAACCTTTCTAGAGGGCAATTTGGCAGTGGCTAACAAAATTTTATACGTCCGCTAGAGGCCCAGTGCACGACATTCATGGCGGGGCGTTTGCGGCCTGTGCCCTCTTGCAGTCTGGGGCCCCGTGGGGGTCCTCAGCACTGCCCAGAGGCTGGAGGGGCTCCCGCTGCCGCCGCTGTGCTCGCCAGCCATGAGCCTGGCTCTGGCTGAGCGGCACTCCCTTTGTGGGAGCACAGTGACCACCAGGGGCAGCTCCTGCATTGAATGTCTGCCCCCTGGTGGTCACTGCACATAATAGGACCAGTCATTCCCCCATTTGGCCAATTTGCATATTAGCCTTTTATTATATAGGATAATCTTTGACCAATCAATTTCCCTTTGAAGGCTGTATCCTCTACAAACACTTGCTCAATAAAAGTGCCCAAGAATGTTCATCCAGTGTTGTTTCTAATAACAAAATCTAAATCAACAAGGAAATGGCTAAGTAAACCAAGATAATTATATACAATGAAATATTATATGTTTTAAAAAAGAAGTATATCTGTATGTGTTAACATGAAAACCATTCATTATGAAGTGAAAAAATCAAGTTGCAGAACAATATACTATAATCTCAATTATGTAAATTTTTATTTCTTACTTTAAATGTATTTATATTGTTTGAAATGTTAAACTAAGCAAATATTACTTTTTAAAAAGTTTTTTTTCTTTTTTTTAGCAAATGTTACTTCAAAATTAGAATTTTAAAAGAAATTTTATGAGTACTATAAATAGAGTTAAAAAGAAATTTAAGCAAACATAATTTTGAGATCTTAAGGATATAAATTAAGTTAGAAATATCACCATGGAAGGCAATAACAACATAGAGCCCAGAGATGCTCCCTGGTGACACTGGTACTTATTGATTGAGATTATGGAACTTTAAAATGGCTATGCTGCAAGCAAAATACTCAAGGATCAGTTTTAAAATGGGGTTTGAAGAGCTATCCAGGCAACTTCAATAATCTACCTTAGGGTCTTTTATTCACCATTCTCTGAATAGAATTCTTAGAAGGCTTGCTCTTCTTGCTGTTTTTTTTTTTGTTTGTTTTTTTGTTTTTTTCCAACTCTAGGCACTAACTGACAATAACTGTCTATTTTTTTTAAAGTGTATTTTTATTGATTTCAGAGAGGAAGGGAGAGGAAGAGAGAGACAGAAACATCAATGATGAGAGAGAATCATTGATTGGCTGCTTCCTGCCCCCTATTGGGGACTGAGCTTGCAACCCAGGCATGCGCTCTTGACCAGAATTGAATGCAGGACTCCTAAGTCCGCAGGCAGACCTACGCTCTACGCACTGAGCCAAACTGGTTAGGGCGATTGTCTGTTTATTTATTGTCTGCCTCCCACATTGGAATATAAAACCCAGGAGAGCAGGCATGTTGTTGTTCTCTGCTATTCTTCAGATAAACCTTGGCACAGAGCAGAGGAAGCATTCAATACAAATTTGCTAAATAGTGAATGAACATTCTGGTTTCAATTATTAGTTGATTTTGCTATTTCATTTTACATTCCCTATAACACTTCCATCAAGGTAGAGTAACAATTTTTCTAAAGCCCTTCTGCGCCTCTCCCTTCTAGACTATTTGGTTTAGAAAAGCACAAAAAGAACTGAGAGTTGTCCTTTGACTGGTGTACCTGGAAGATGCTGAGGCTACCTAGCAAATACCTGTGAAACGAGGCCTACTCTAAACACAGGAGCCAGGGTGATCTTTTAAAAATAAAAGCCATTCCTTGAGGACAGAAGTCAGACTGTTATAAATGTTACCAGCACTCCCTATTTCTCTCAGAATAGAATCAGCTGTTACAATGGCCTATGAGACCCTATAAGGTCTGGCTCATTACCTCTCTGACCTCTTCCTGCCCCTTACTCATTCTACTCCAACCATTCTGGCCTCATTGTTGATCCTCACACAGACAAGCACCCTCCTACCTCACGGTACTTATCTGACTATTCTTTCATCTTGAAATACTCTTCACCTAAAAACCCATGACTAATTCCTTCAAGTCTGCTCAAACATCACCTTCTCATAGGGGCTTATACCTGACTCCTCTAATTAAAATTATAACTTGGCACTCTGTGCCCTGGCTTATTGAGTGTTCAGAAGGGAAAATTCCTTTCTCCTTCTCTTAATTAGAAAATGTCTCATTAAGGCTCAGAACACAACTACTACTACTTCCCTTAAGTTTTTCCCATTTGGGGGGCTCTCTAAGCAAATTAATCCAGAAAAGTATAATCATGTGCCAGGCAGTTTTAGAAATATTAATATCTTAGACCATTTAATAAAAGGGCAGTATGGCACATAAGTGAAACTTAACCCAACCACAACCACAACAAAAAGAACTAACTAAATGATTCATAAGCAAAATATCGTTATAAAACAGAGTAATAGAGTCGTGCCACTCAAAAACATTAAGGGTAGAATAGGCTTTGGTGGGTTGTTTGTCCAGCTATTTTTATAAAAAAAAAAAAAATAGAGCACAGAGTTAAAAAGAAAAACCATTTAAAATAGATATTATCCAACAGGTTCTCAGTATATCAACTGATTCTTACCTGGCAGTGCTGAAGCTCAATCAGAGCAGCCCTCAGTGGAGATAAAAGCATGCTTTGCCTGAGCCATTTACCCAGAGAGAAATATAGTTGTGCCAGAAAAATGCCATAAAATATTAAAAACAGAATGAAAGTCACTCTGAGAAATACTTTGGTAAGTCTGAAAAGAAATAAATAACACTTCTATTAACTTACTTGGGCAACTTACTTGGACCAAGTGTTATTTTGAATTTGAAAATTTTAGGGTGAATATAATAAAATTAGAGAATCAAATTTGAGGAGCATGTGCTACTGAGTTGATTGTGGCACCTAGAGATCCAATTACGATAGTTAGAAAACAGGTAAGGGGAGACTTAGCTCAGTGAAAGAGGGAGAGAGAAAAAGAAACCATAGTATTTGACTTAAGCAATGTTCTCATTCCAGCCCATAGATTCCTCTTCCTCGACTTATTTCCTTAAATCAACCTATCTTACCTTTATGGTAAAATTAAACATTCCCAGAATACTGACTACCATTTTATAAAACTGACTCACATTTACTATATCCTTTTTGTAGTACTGAATTTACTTAGCTCTCAATTTTAAACGTAAGATAAAATGGTTTACAGTGTAAACTAGGGGTGTCGAACTCAATCAGAGAAGGGGCCAAAATCTAAAATCCAGCCTAAATCGCGGGCCAAATGGTTTACTGAACAGTCATAAACTGTCATTGTGATGGAAACGCAGCGGAGTGCAGGGATGACAGCGCGGTGCGGGCCACATTGCAAGGCCTGGCGGGACTGATTTGGCCCGCGGGCCTTGTGTTTGACACATGTGGTGTAAACAGATATCAAGCTTGGGTGGAAGAAAACAATCATTTTAAATGGTTAAGTTGAGACAAAGAAGCTTCATATTATCTACAAGCACAGATCACAGAGCTAGTAAGTGAACAGACTGTGGGCAGCGCTGCCAGGACAATCATGTTTGGGGTGGCTGGTGACCCTGCTCTTTCTTCTTCCAGTTTGTTCCTTGGCAAGGAGGAAAGAAAAAGCCCCCAATGATGACTTGCTTGATCTTACCACATCAATCTCTGTGTTGGAATGTCCCATGTTACAAACAATGCAGCTATTCTTCATCCGGTCTAAGTGCTCTCTGGTTACCACATTCTTGTTACCTAAAAAACAGAGGAGATAGCCACATAAAAAGGAATGAAGCTGGACTCCTACCTCACACCATAAGAGACCTAAATGTAAGAACTAAAACTATACAACTCTCAACAGAAATGGCATAAATCTTTCTGACCTTGGAGTAAGCCATGCTTTCTTAAATATAACACCTTAAAGCACAAGCAAGCAAAAGAAAAACTAAACTGAACTACGTTGAAATTAAAACTTTTATGCTACAGATAACACCAAAAAAGTGAAAAGACAACGCACAAAACAGGACAAATATTTGCAAATCATAGAACTGATAAGGAACTTGTACCCAAAATTTATAAAGCATTTTTTAAAAAATATATTTTATTGATTTTGTACAGAGAGGAAGGGAGAGAGATAGCAAGTTAGAAACATCGATGAGAGAGAGTCATCGATCAGCTGCCTCTTGCACACCCCCTACTGGGGATGTGCCCGTAACCAAGGTACATGCCCTTGACCAGAATCGAACCTGGGACCCTTTAGTCCCCAAGCCGACGCTCTATCCACTGAGCCAAACCGGTTTTGGCATATAAAGCATTCTTAGCTCAATAATAAAATGCCAAATACTAATAATTGAATTAAAAAATGAGCAAATGATCTGAATAGACATTTTTCAAAAGAAGATGTGCCACTAGGCACATTAAACAATAAATGAATAAGTAAAATGTGGTATAGCCTTAAAATGGAATATTATTTAGCAATAAAAATAGATGAAATATTGATACATGCCACAACATGGATGAACACTGACTGACATTATGGTGAGCAAAAAAATAAATAAATAAAAACCAGTCACAAAAGACTACATACTGTATGATTCCACTTATATGAAATGTCTAGAATAGGCAAATCTATGAAGAGAGAGAGAATACTGGCTGCCAAAGGTGGAGGGAAGAATGAGGAATGTCTGCTAATAGTAGGGTTTCTTTTGGGGGTAATGAAAACATACTGACACATGTGGCTCAGTTGGTTGAGCGTAGTCTCACACACTGAGAGGTCGCCAGTTGGATTGCCGGGAAGGACACATGCCTGGGTGGCAGGCTCAATCCCCAGTAAGGAGTGTGCAGGAGGCAGCCAATCGATGTTTCTCTTTCATCTATGTTTCTCTCTCTTTCTTCCTCTCCCTTCCTTACTAAAATCAATAAAAACATTAAAAAAAAGTCACTGAACAGTATATAGGGTGAATTTTTTTTCATATGAGGATTATATATCATTGAAAAAATTAGATTGTGGTAATGGTTGTATGAGCCTATGAATTTGCTAAAAAAACAAACATTGAACTATACACTTAAATGGGTGAAATCTAAGATATGTGAATTAAATCTCAATAAATTTATTTAAAAATAGGTTAATGGACTGATGTGAAGCAAGAACAGTTTCTTGTGGTCCTTCTTCTCTGCCCCCAGCTCTTCTTGATCCTATATTTATATATATTTTTTTCGTTTTTAAATATTCTGATTTCCCCCCTCGAAGATACAATTATAAAAGAAAACCAATGTTACAACAGTTTATGGTTCTAAGATAAAGATAAAATCTCAGTCTAAGAAAACCAGCCATATCTTCATACTCCTCTCTAAAATTCAAAATCTACCTCTTTGGAAATCAGCACAACTACATTTCCCTATTTCTCTATGAGTTTTGCTCAGCCTTGCTTTAATTATAGGGACTATAGAGAAACATACATCACTTTTGGAGGTAAAATAGAAAAAGTCAAATGTACAAATGTAAGATCTGGCTTCCCAAACAAAACTCATCTCTAGCCATCTCGTAGGTGGTTGAAGATCATGGAGATACAGAACAAAGCGATGGAAAGAAGCCTTCCTCTATGAATGACTTAAAGGCATACTTTTGGTCACACTCTAAAGCGATAGGAAGAACGTGAAAGATTGACTGGTTTTGTAAACTGCTATCTCTGGCTTTTAAGTTTGGTTTTGTTCAGAACATTTTCAGTCATTTTTCATTTGTTCCATAAAGGCATTCTCAAGTGCCACCCATTTTATGTTATAATCGTACCTGTACAGGTAATAACAATATCCACTTGTCGGATGACCTCATTCAATTTCACCAGTCGAAATCCATCCATACTGTAGAAATAAAGCATGATCAATGAAGCTAAAAGGCAGATGGGAGGTTTTCGCTATAGAACTTCAAAAGCAAGATTACCAAGTTGCTTTGATACATACACTGTCATTTCTTGATATAGCTGGACTACTCTGAGCAGTGAAAAACCATTTCTTTAGTTCATTCAAGACAGAAATAAAACATTTTTTCACATCACTGGAACCTAATTCTTCCTGATAATAGGGAGACAATGTTAAGCATGGGATTCCTCAATTAAGTTCCTATAAAGTGCCATTTTAACACTGAACCTACTCTCCACTGAAACTGCTTCTCTCCAAGATCAATCATCTCCTGAATGCCAAAGTAAATTTATTTAGTCATATATTACTTGATTTCCTCTAGTACATTAAACATTATTTGTCTTCTTAAATCTATATACTGCTTGGAGTACATACTGTTTTATCCTAGTTTTCCTACTTTTCTGATTGCTCCTCCAATCTCATTAGTCTTTAAATGTTGGTACTCGGTAGGGTACTCTTTTCCCTCAGCACTTCTCCATAACTTTTCCTGGCTATAAATGACTCCTCATAGGTGGCTGATTTACACATCTATATCTTTAGCTTAGATATCTCCAAAACTTCAGAGCCTGGATCAAATTATCCACTAGATAGCTCTTCCTAGATGGCCCATAAGGATCTCAAACTTACTGTATTTAAAAAGAAACTCATTATCTCTTCACGTCCCTAACTCTATTTCTTCTTCTATATTGTCTATATTGATTATTAGCATTATTTGTTCACCCAACTATATAAGTCAAATAAACAAAATGTCTGAGCCTACTGCCTCAGACATTGAGACTGTCACCAAATCTTTTACCTAACTTCCTTAAAACCTCTTGAATCTGTCCCTTCCTTGCCATACATGCTGGCCTTATGTTCAGGTTTATTTTTTGCCTGTATTACTACAGTAGCTCCTGGTCCAATCTCATCACCTCTAGGTTTATGCCTCTCTAATTCATTTTGCAGAGTGGATCATGTAACTTGGATCATGTAACTTCATTGTTTAGAATGCAACTTGGATCATGTAACTTCATTGTTTAGAATACTCCAGTGAGATTGCCTGCTCTCAGGAAAAGACCCAAATAATTATACTGATATATGATTATCCTAACATAGGATTCCTCTCTCAGATATACTCCTCCCAAATTTACCCTATAGACCAGCTACATCAAGCTTCTTAAATATATTATACTCTCTCCTTCCTTGGAAACTATGGAATTTACTTCCAAACTAAGAAATCATTTACACAAGTTTCAAAACTCAACTGTACTGACACCTCTTTGGACCCTACCTCCTTGCTCTTTTGTTAGATATTTCTCTCTTTTTTTTTTTTTTTTTTTTAAATATAGTTTATTGATTTTCTACAGAGAGGAAGGGAGAGAGACAGAGAGCCAGAAACGTCAATGAGAGAGAAACATTGACCAGCCGCCTCCTGCACACCCCCCACCGGGGATGTTCCCGCAACCAATGCACATGCCCCTGACCGGAATCGAACCTGGGACCTCTCAGTCCGCAGACCGACGCTCTACCATTGAGCCAAACCGGTTTCGGCAGATATTTCTCTTTTGTGCTCCTAAAGGAGCATGTGCTGTTTACCTTCATCATAGCACTTACTATACTGAACAGTGGTTATTTGTCTGTGCACCTGTCTTCTCTCATTCACTTATTCATCCTCAGCATAGAGCACAGTACCAGATATATTATAAATGATCATTTTGTATCTATAATTTGAATCAGTATATCAGTGAGTATTAAAGTAGGTTCAGTTTTCTCTAATGAACCCTGAAAGGACTAGAATGGTGATAATTTCCAAAACCAACAACTCTGTTGGGGAAATCTGTGGGTTTATGGCCAGCATGTGTGAGGAACAGTAGGACAGGTAGGAATGGTTGTGATAAAATCTTTATGTCATGCCTAAATCTATCCTGGGCACTTTCCTCTGGAGGATTAATGGTAAAGACTGGGTGGGTAACCCAGGCTATAGACACTGGGGCTTGTCAGTAGTTTTCAGGGACAGTGATTTCTCCATCCTGTTGAGGGTGGCAAGAGATAATTTTATTAATAACTACCATTCAGTGAGCCTTTATTATGTAGCAGCAGCTCTGTACTTTTTATAATTACATGACTATTATATGACTATACATTATATAATAAATATATAATTATGTTACTGAATGTTCACAACACTTTGAGGCAGGTAAAAGTACCCACATTTTACATATGGTAAAGAAACTACTCCTTTTTAAACTTTTAATTTTGGAATAATTTCAAATTTAAGAATTGTAAGAATACTACAAACATCTCTAATACACCTTTCACTCAGCAGATTTTATCCTGACTTTGGATCTGCCTACTGTGTCCTTCTGATTAGATTTAGGTTATACATTTTTGGGAGGACTATTGTAGAAGGTGCTCTTTTCAGTGCATCATATGAGAAGGGACCTGGTACCAGCCTGAATCTTTTTTTTTTTTTTCCCCCCCAAAGGGAGGAGGATTATATGGAGAAAATAAGGAACTACTTGTTCTCTAGGTCAAGGCAGGGGGTACTGCCATAGGAATTTTAAATTTTAGCTTCTCTGATCGTCTTTGTTCTCTCTGAGCAGAGCTCCTTGATCTCTGAAAAATAGGTGCTAACAGTTAATGGCAGTCTCTTTCAGGATCTGGGCCCCTCTAAATTAAAATGTGTCTCAACCAGGCCATTCTTTGAAGCAGCTACAAGATCACCTGCTAGATGGCGGTGTACGCTTACCAGGCTTGAAGAGCACAGATGGGGTCAATCTCCGTCACATACACAATGGAGCCCATGGCTTTCAAGGCAGCACAGCATCCCTTCCCCACCTGAAAATGGGAGAAAGAACACATATTAAGGAGAGTCAACGAGAAAACAGTTTCTCAAAGTTTCTGGTAAAGTGTACCCTACTTTCCGCCCCCAAAGGAATTTCACTCAATATATTCATGCTTGGGGAAAAATAAGAAAAACAAACAAATGAATGCAGTTCATAAACAAACTCCTAGTGCCTGCTTAGCACATGCACGTGCATATGAAACACCCACAGTCACAATTCGTAATAAAAACTCAAGCTAAAAGAACATCACAAACAGAACACTGGAACAGTCAGAAAATCAACTTAAGAAAAAATGGCAACAATGAAGAGGGAAAAAGAAACATTGTAATTGAACCAGAGAGTCTCTAAAGTTATCCCACTCCCCCATCTAAAGTGATAAATGATAAAGTGATAAATGTCCATACAAATGAGAAATTCTAGTTTATTTTAGCAAAATACATTTAAACACCCAGTACATAACTGAAAGGGTAAGCCTTACCTCTCCATAGCCACAGACCACCACCTGTTTTCCACCAAACATCATGTCTGTTGTCCTTTTAAGTCTAGTGGGGGGGAAAATTACATCAGAAAAATCTTTTCATTTCTCCCTTGAGATTAAATTGGGTTCCTTATTTTCATGTTTCATGGTGTGTGTTTTTTCCCTATTTTAAAAGAAAGCCTGGTTTCATCCTAGATAAAATATTTAGTAACTAGAAAGAAAGGTTTAATAAATATGTATTTTCTCACTCCATGCTATCCAATCAATTCCATCTGTATGCAAGTTTTTGTTTTTTCTTTCTTTCTTTCTTTTTATTCCCTTGTCTTGGAAGTAGTGCAGAAGGGAAGCGGCTACAGACTACAAAGTAACTTGTAAAAGCAATATACACAGGGTGTCCCCAAAAATGTACACATACTTTGGATAATTATTAATTCCAGTGGGTTAAGTCTGAAAAGAAAGAAACATCAATTGAGCTATCAGCTGTTAAAATGTGTATACATTCTTTTGGGGCATCCTGAATTTATTATACAACATTGTGAATATTTGACTTACTGAAAACATACTACCGGTAGCTTATTGAATTAGACACTGATAGATCAGCACTACATTTAGCAGTATCATAATGGCCAACAGGTCCCACTTTTATTCAATAGGGAGGACAAGATGGAGAGGAGCTTTGAAACACGCCAACACCGACTACATGAGATAGTGAGTTTTCTGGGGCGGATTCCTTCTCAGACATGTTCTACTTCATCTCTGATTCTCTACGAACTAGAATAAAGGCCTTCCTGTTTTCAGAGTCTCCTGGAAAAACTGCAGGAGCAGTTTCTGGTTTCTTTTTAGGTTCAATCAGTCTCCCTTTTCTAGGAATCCTTGGCTATGCAGAAGATTTTCAACTAAAGCAGCCTATTCTGAGATAGACAGCTACTAAAAATACTTGTGGGTCTTTCTACTCACTGATCTGTTAACCTCTGCTGTTGAAGAGTCTATAAATGCCCCAAAGGCAAAGTAGGAATCCTGTCTTTCTGATGATTGGACAGCTCCACTCAAGAGGAACCAGTATAACTCCCTAAACCCAAATAAAACAATAAATATTAAGTGAAGAGGCAATTCTTTTTAAAAAAAATATATATTTTATTGATTTTTTACAGAGAGGAGGAAGGGAGAGAGATAGAGAGCTAGAAATGTCAATGAGAGAGAAACATTGACCAACTGCCTCTTGCACACCCCCCTACCGGAGATGTGCCCGCAACCAAGGTACATGCCCTTGCCCGGAATCGAACCTGGGACCCTTCAGTCCGCAAACCGACGCTCTACCACTGAGCCAAACCGGCTTCAGCTGAAGAGGCAGTTCTTGAGTGAAAAGAGTAAGTCTAGTCTGGCTGGATTACCATATTCAAAAGTCAGAGCTTCAGAGAATGGTCCCGGAAGGGCTAACACAGCAAGGAAAATCAACAGATCATATTTCTGAGCCTCCTTTGCTTTGATTATCCTCAGGCCTTTCTGCCTCTCTTCCCAACTACTATGTGTAGTCTTTCCTGAATACAAATGACTGTGTGGTGGGAAGGAAACTTCACCAGTCCTGCTACTCTGCAAATGATAAGCTGACAGACCTAGATGGATTCCAGTTAGGTAGCAATTTCTCTGTCATCTTAGGGACCCACATTTGCCTTAAGATTTGAGGATAAGGGGTAGAAAAGACCTCAGTCAAAGAAGGACCTTTTTGAGGGGGGGGGGGGTTTAGAAGGAGCTGGAAGTAACTTCTCTGGTGGCGTATGAGTCACGTCAAGCCTCCTACTTCTAATTCTTCTAGCCCCAGGATCCTCTAGAAGGGTTCCTGGAATACAGTCTATTTTATGACCTGAAATCACATCTGAGATATTCTTAGTCTTCCGATCAGGTGGAACCTCAGTCTCCAGAAGACAGAAATGACAGTTGGATGACAGATTAAATGAAAAAGTGATGGCTGAGTCCTATGGGCTCCTTGCAGGGGCGTGGTCAAAAGATGATGGCAACCCCACACCCTTTCCTGACTCCTGTGTTTTATTTTCCTTTTTCTCTGAAAATGTTATAAGAGGAATGAGTATTTCAGACATTTTTGGTTTAATATAAACACAATGTTAGCATCAGGAAAAAAAATTTGCACTGCTTTTTGGCATTGCAGACCAATTACCGAAATGTCCTCTAGAAGTCAGTGGGGCCATTCCCACATACTAGCTTATGGTGCAGTGTGCAACCAGCTCTTAGAACTACAGAAGCTCAATCACTAATCTTTTCCTCATATGAACTCTCTTTTGGGCTGAATGTCCTCTCTGTTCCATTGCAGCCTTCTCTGGAACATAACGGCCTTTTTTTAATTCCTCCTGCACTCAACTCCTCTGACAGGGACAACTGCCCATGACCCAACTGGGAAGTTTCTCATCACCTGAAGGTACCAATGAGCTCTTACTACTCAGCAGGTTTTCTGGCAGATAGTTGGTTTCCTAATTCTTCATTAACCTTAACTTCCGTTCCACTGTGTGCTTCTTACTTCACTCTCATACACATCTGCTATTAAAGAATCTTTCTTACCCACCAGATAAACACTGCTTAGAAGGGACTCTTTCATTTTTATGAACTAGTGTAGGTACCTTTCTGTATCTTTTACTGAACCCAGTATAGACAGATTTTAGGCTCACAGATTTGAGAATTAAAAAAATCTACAAGATACTTAGCTGTGGATGAATAGATATTTTAATGCATATTTAGCCAGATTATTATTAATTTTATCAGGCCCAAGTCTACTTACATTAAAATAACACTTAAATGTGGACAGAATTAGGGACAGTTTATAAACAGACTGATAGACTGAGAATTCATTTAAATGTCTAATGTGTCTGATAATACTATTGACACAAAGAAGTAATAATAATAGTTCAAATTTGCATTGAACACTCCCCACACCAAAAAAAGATTTCAGCCGAAACCAGTTTGGCTCAGTGGATAGAGCGTCGGCCTGCAGACTTAAAGGTCCCAGGTTCAATTCCGGTCAAGGGCATGTACCTCGGTTGCCGGCACATCCCCAGTAGGAGGTGTGCAGGAGGCAGTGGTCGATGTTTCTCTCTCATCGATGTTTTTAACTCTCTATCCCTCTCTCTTCCTCTCTGTAAAAAAATCAATAAAATACATTAAAAAAAATTTTCAAAGTAAAAAGCTTCCCTTAAGATCTAACTTACTGTACAATAAATTATAAATTATAAAATTTATAGAACCCTGTACAGTAAATTCTGTACAGAGTTCTAGAAAGAAGAGCAAGGAATTAACATCGAATATCAGGATTTATATGTTATCTCATTTAATCCTCACAATAACTCCATGAAGCTGGTCTCACTGTTACAGTTTAACAGATGAGGAAGTAGGAACAGAGAGGTTAAATAACTAGTCCAAAGCCTTTCAGTTAATAAATGATAGAAGCAATAGTCAAACCAAAGTCTTTCACCAATGCCTGTAATGTTGCAGATTGCCTGGGGTCCAGATTTGTTGGTAATGTGACCCACAGGCCCTTTCTTTACTTTCCCAATAACCTACCCTGTTTCCCCGAAAATAAGACAGTGTCTTATATTAATTTTTTCTCCCAAAGTTGCGCTAGGTCTTATTTTCAGGGGATGTCTTATCTTTCCATGCGTTAGGTCTTATTTTCAGAGGATGTCTTATTTTTGGGGAAACATGGTATATATGATGGGAACAACTTAATGGTTTCAGACAGGGAATTACTGAGTCTTCCCAGCAAGAATGAAGTTATGTCAGGACACAAGTGTGGAAACAGAAACTGGGTTTTGGAACAACAGAGTATTTGGTATATATCTAAGTAAATTTTTGTCAGACTTGAAATCATTACAGATTTGAAAAACTAGAAATGCCTCTGAGAATTGACTCTTTGCTAACCACAACTTTCCAGATGGTGAGAGAATTATATGATAGTTGGAGCTTAAGAACTGGCAATATGACCTAAATAGAAACATCAGGAACCTTTCCCAAACCATCAAAGATACTTACATGTTTACAATGACTTCAGGCCTAAGAGTTGGTTACTCTCAGGCCTGTTAGAGTCACCAAGTTAAAAGCTGCCATCAATAGACAGGGGCTAATCTGATCATTTATATAAAATAGATTTGCTTCTAATAGGTTATATCAATGGTAGCTCTGGGTTATAAAACCTGAGTGTGATGTGATGTGATGTGATTCAGAAGTGCTACATGAATAATTTTCAAACCTAAAACACTGAGGACCTCACTTCAACAACTCAAGCTCATCACAAAGATAATAAAAAATTACCCATCAAGAATAGATTCACGGCAACAGTAGAGGTTGTCAAATTTTTGTTTGGTGACTGAGTCATTCACATTCATGGCTGGAACACACAGCTTCCCAGCTTTGGATAGCTGGTACAGCCTAGGACGAGGGGAATAAAGAAGAACATGAAACAATGAGATACTGCAGTCTCCTGTCAGTTCATATCCAGTTCCAGAAATATGTTGACTAGGTAGGCATGACAGCATGAGACATGAGTAGTTTATCTTATTAGTATATAGAAAGAAATAAAGAGTATCTTTCTAGAGTCTATATAGCTTAAAATAAAGATCTTTAGTCAGAAGACATGTGGGGGAAATCTCTAACCAACCTCTACATTATAAGAATTAAAATATAAATTTTAAAATTGCTTATTAATATTATTCACCTTTTTAATTATAAAAAATTAACTTTAAGTACTATTTTATTTTTAAAAAAATATATTTTATTGATTTTGTACAGAGAGGAAGGGAGAGAGATACAGAGTTAGAAACATCGATGAGAGAGTCATCGATCAGCTGCCTCTTGCACACCCCCTACTGGGGATATGCCTGCAACCAATGTACATGCCCTTGACCAGAATCGAACCCGGGACCCTTCAGTCCCCAAGCCGATGCTCTATCCACTGAGCCAAACCGGTCTCGGCTTCAAGTACTATTTTAATCCCACTACTCTAATGCAATAATTTTAACTTCCAAACAGTCTCAATTTATAATTTCAATACACGTACTTATAAATATGCATATCTATATATATATGAGTTTTATTTAAACTGATTCAACTAAGAATCAGAACCAGATGTTTTATTCAAAATTCATCTCTTTCTAAGAATATGAAAGTACAGCTAGCCTATAGTTTTGTATGTTCAAAAAGATCACAAAATTTTGAAGCAGTGATGATGGTTATTCAGAATTTACTTCCCTAAACCTTTTACTTTCATACTTTCAGTTCTTTCTGGGTGAATAATAGATAGAAATGATTTCAATTTTATTCAGGAAATTATTTCTCCTTTGAGAAAAAGGACCCCAAATCCTTGCTTTCTACGTAAGAATGTATTAAGGCCCAGGTTTTTTCCTCTTCTGCCTAGTGCTAGATCCCTAGCACAGTTCTTACAGCTGTTCCTGGTTCACTGTAGAAATTCAATAAATATCTATTGCATAAATGAATTCATCCAAAAAAAGATAAGCAGTCGTTGTGTTACATTGACTAGAAAATATGAGGACCACATTTATTCCCTACCCATCCCTGCCTTCACTAAATTAGGTTTGTTATTTGTGTTGTTAATTTAAAAAAAAATAAGTGTGTAGACTCCGATCTCATTACCTCATTGTGGGTTCCAGTTTTTAACCTAATGTGTTCTACAGGTATGTGATTACAAGAATGTATGTCTAGGCTGCATAAAACCAGGTATGTCCATGACAAATCTTACCTATGAACTCCAGTTACACTCTCCTCTACTATGCCCTTGATCTTCTTAAACATGTTGGGATACTTCTTATAAATCCAGTGAGTTAGATCCCCTCCATCATCCAAGATCTGCAATAATAAGCATCAATAATGTCATTCATTTTGCTGAAGTCTCTGTGTTCCTAGTGCTTCTCTGGGTCTTGAATCCCAATTTCCAATAGTCCATTCACAAATATTTCAAATTTCCCACATGGTTATGTAAGGTAACTTAAAGCCAGAATAGTGACCAAACAGTTATTAGACTGTCGTAAAAGACAATGAGGGATGAAAAACCAACTGTAATTTTCATAGCCAAATGACTTTTCACCTAATAAAAGAAAATACACAGCAATATAATGAGGATTTTCTTATGGACTAATAACTCAAGTGGTTATCAAAATCATTACTTCTTATTTTTTAATGTTTTATTTATTGATTTTAGAGAGAGAGGAAGGGGGAGAGAGAAACAGAGGTTTGTTGTTCTATTTGTGTATGTGTTCATTGGTTGCTTCTTGTATGTGCCCTGACTGGAGATGGAACCCACAACCTTGGTGTATTGGGAAGATGTTCTAACCAACTGAGCTACCTGGCCAGGGCCTGACCCACTAGTTCTTAAATGTACTGTAAATATTCAGAAAGCTTAAATTTGATATGAGAATATTTCTATTAATTACAGTTAGTACTTTAAATATAATCAGTCAAAACTTGGTTTAAATAGAGTCAGATAATTAGTCTTCTTCCCAGAACAATGGCTCATAAAACTATATTCATTATTCCTTTACTTCTTCCAGAGTACAGGCATTCTCCTACCCCAAATATTAGGCAGTACTGTAAGGTTTTGCCTAGCACAATCTCACACCAAATCTATAACCAAATTAAAAATAACTAGGGAACTGTGCAGCACGTAGGTGTGCAAGCAGGCCTCTGAAGAGCTCATCACCATTTCAGGTTGGGATTAAAGAGAAACACAATGCTGTGCCCCCTGCTTTCATCACAGAGGAAAAGTCTATGAATTATAAATAAGCTAAAGAAAGATCAGCTTAGCATTCTATTAGGCACCAGGCTGTGGCATTTCAGCCCTTCGCTTAGCTGTTAGAAATGCCTGGCAGGATGTTTTCAAGTTGTTATACCTATCCTCCTGCCAAGTCCCACAGAACTAGATGCCCTCTACTGGCATGCACCCATTTTGCAGTTCATCAATTATCAACTCTACTGCAAGTGCCAAAAATGCCATCCTGGACTTCCGGGCACACAAAATCCCCAACCTCACGTCTACCACATGATCTCTTTTTTGCTTCTGCTCTTGCTATTGATCTGACTCAACTAAACCTTACTTGAGAGCAGGGATCCAAGATAAGAGCTCTCACTAAAATGCTGCACTTGCTCCATGTTCTCCCAGAAGGAACCTCAGAACAGATGTGAGAAACAGAAAGGCTCCTCTAAGTTTCTCTTGCCCTTTCTGCATGTTTGAAATCCCTCATGGAGTTTTCCTGTACAGCTTCTGATTCCCTAACCACGCAAAAGATCAGAGACAAAAAAAAGACAAAAAAAAAAAAAAAAAAAGACTGACCATCCTAACTGGTCCGGCTCAGTGGCTAGAGCACATGTGTCAAACACAAGGCCTGCGGGCCAAATCCGTCCCGCCAGGCCTTGCAATGTGGCCCGCACCGCGCTGTCATCACTGCACTCCACTGCATTTCCATCACAATGACAGTTTATGACTGTTCAGTAAACCATTCGGCCCCGCGATTTAGGCTGGATTTTAGATTTTGGCCGCTTCTCTGATTGAGTTCGACACCCCTAGGCTAGAGTGTTGGCCTGTAAACTAAGGGGTCCAGGGCTCCATTCCAGTCAGGGGCATATGCTCAGGTTGTGGGCTTGATCCCCAGTGGGGACATGCAGGAGGCAGCCAATCAATGAGTCTCCTCACTGATGTTTCTATTTCTCTCTCCCTCTCCCTTCCTTTCTGAAAAAAAAAAAGAAAAAGAAAAAAAAAAGGAGCAATTGTAAGCTCTATGACTTAAGTCCCACTATTCTCATCCACTTTCCCCCTTTTTTTAAAAAAATATATATATATTTTATTGATTTTTTTACAGAGAGGAAGGGAGAGAAAGAGAGAGCTAGAAATGTCGATGAGAAAGAATCATCGACCAGCTGCTTCCTGCACACCCCCTACTGAAGATGTGCCCGCAACCAAGGTACATGCCCTGGACCGGAATCGAACCTGGGACCTTTCAGTCCGCAGACCGACGCTCTACTGCTGAGCCAAACCGGTTTCGGCCACTTTTCCCTTTTAACACAGATATCTAACACAGGCAGGTAGATGCTATTTCTAACATGTACTTAATGAAAGTAGCCCATCATTCCCACCATGTAACTCTATTACAGAAAATTCTCGTCACCAGGGAATCTTCCTGAGGTTGGAAAGCAAGGAAAAGTATTAGATCTTGACAGAATTCAAAGAGATATAGGTCCTGTTTTCTGGGGGTGACAACTGTTTTTATCCTTGTATTAATCTCTTCATTATCCTTTTCAGCAGTTCATTCTGGCTCTAAAGTCTATACAAGCTTTCTGGGAACAATCTCATGTCCTCCTCGTGTTCATGACTTTAAATTACTATTATATTTCCAGTAGAAATCCCCTGGCATATCTTCTTTATTGCCTGCCAGTCATACTCCCTCCTATAACTGTTGGAAAGAGCCGACTCCTACCCCCCTTTCAGGATATGAAGGCTTTAACGCAGCTTCCTCAAACCAGCTCTTGGTGCACCATGACCTGAATCACAGAATCCAAAAAGATAGGCTGCTTTTTTCTGCTGTGAAATAGTGAGTCCTGCTCTGCAGCATTCAGCAGCAAGCAAGAGCTGTGCTACAGCTTCAAGGATTCTTTTTTCAGTTGATCCCTTAATTTTTCTTCTCCCTCATATGAAAAAATGTTTGTAAAGTAGGAGTGCTTCATACTTTGTGCAGTTTTTTCTTTCTTTCTTTGCAAATCTAATATGCTATCAACCTTAAACAATTTGATCTTTTAAAAAATGAAACGGCCGAGACCGGTTTGGCTCAATGGATAGAGCGTCGACTTGGGGACTGAAGAGTCCCGTGTTCAATTCCGGTCAAGGGCATGTACCTTGGTTGCGGGCATATCCCCAGTAGGGGGTGTGCAAGAGGCAGCTGATCGATGACTCTCTCTCATCGATGTTTCTAGCTCTCTCTCTCCCTTCTTCTCTGTACAAAATCGATAAAATATATTTAAAAAATAAATAAATAAAAATAAAAAATGAAACAAAAATTTTAAAAAGCAAAAATAAAAAACCTAAACTTTACGTATCTAGTTATCTTTCTCAATGTAGAATGAATAAAGCAAAAAATCTGAACTTGGAAATCCTTCATGTTTACTATAAATCTAGCATATAATTCTAGAGAGAAAGCTAGGTACCACAGGAGGGGTGTGTGTGAGAGTGTGTATGTTTAGATTATTGTTGTTAGGGGATGGTAGTAAGAGGTGGTAGAAAACGGTAACTTATCAATCTTACTTTTTAACTAGCTTTGTATGAATGCTGAGCAGTATTTGTTGTTTTTTTAAAAAATATTTTTATTAATTTCAGAGAGAGGAAGGGAGAAGATATAAAGAGAAACGTTGATGAGAGAGAATCCCTGATAAGCTGCCCCCTGCATTCCCCCTAATGGGGATCAAGCCAGTAACCTGAGCATGTGCCCTTGACTGGAATCAAACCTGGGACCCTTCAGTCTGCAGGCCGACACTCTATCTATTGAGCCAAAAACCTTTGTTTTTTTAAATCCTCACCCAAGGATATGTTTTTTGTTTTGTTTTTATTGAGTTTAGAGAGAGAAGAAGGGAGAGGGAGAGAGAGAGAATCAGAGAGAAATATCAATTAGTTGCCTCCCATATGTGCCCTGACCTGGAATCGAACTTGCAAATTTTTGGTACATGGGGCAATGTTCAATAACTTGAGCCACTTGGCCAGGGCTGCTGAGCAGTATTTTAATGTTGTAGTGAATATGAATGATTCTAAGATTAGCACTAACAATTGAGGCTATAAAGAGATTTAATATTCTTGAGGTGCCCTGAGCTTAAGTATCTAGTTCTGTTGGAAGCCCAGGTACATTAGATAGAAAAGGAGTCCTTTTCCTTTTTTTCCTGTTGGGAAACCCTCTCCTAAACCAGAGCCTCCCTCTCTACCTCTCCTTCCTGCCTCCCTACAGAACTGTGTTAGCTGAAATCTAACCCACCATGTTTGGCTGCCAGCCCTCCACATTCACACATCTATCAATGCACCACCAAAAGTCATCTTCTGACTCTCCTTTCCAGGCAAAGACAGGAAATCCTGAGAAAAAGGAACAAAGAGAAATCATTAATTTACGGGCTGACCCTAAATTCTGGCAAGATGATGCTGGTTTTCCTCAATTATGAACTCTCTCATTCTCCTGTTCTATACTCCTTGGATTGACTTTCTTCCCTGATTAGTATTGACTTCAGTTCCTAATCCACTCCTCTGGTGGCCATTTTGCTCATTAGACCAAAGAGGATAAACAAAAGGGACAACAGTATGATGGAGACTAAACATATGACTAAAGAGGAAAAAGGAGAAACTAGAAACAAGTACTTGTTTATCCAGTCCAATTGGAATTCTCACCATTTCCCAACCAAATTCTGATCTTTCTCACTTCCATACTTTAGTCATCCCATCCTCCATCAGGAAAACCTTACACTTTTCTCCATCTGTTAAAAGGTTTATTATTTACCACACTTCATGGTCCTGTTAAGTGTCATATTCCCAATGAAGCCTGATTAACTCAGCTGGAAGTAACTCGTGGAATCAGAACTTTTATAAACCCTCTGAGCGCTGAATTTGGGTTTATGATATGTTGTGGCATTTATCATCTATGCTCTTATACCATCATTATCTACAAATGTGTCTTTTCTTCTCAAGGAAAATGTAAGATTCTGAGGGCAAAAACATTGACTCATTTGTCCTTAATATCTCTTACAGAAGGCATAATAAGTATTTGTTAAAAAAACAAAAACAAAAAAAACATCATGTACAATTCATTAGGCTATATATTTAATATTTGTATATTTTTTCTACATATATTTTACACAAATAAAAATTTTATGAATGAATGAATGTAAATGAAGAAACAAATGAAATGCTGAAAGTGCTAGCAGAAGGAGAGACATGCATGCACTAACCAGCTTTCTCCTCATTTCTCAAGAGCTCTGAAGCAAGGGTTTGGTTCCCTGACCAGTGTTGTGCTGCCAGGGAGTGAGAGAAAAAACTAACAAAGTTTAACTTCCCCATTTCTTTTGTCCTTCAAGTGCCAGTGGCTGTTGTGATCAAATATTAATCTTTCAGGTCAAATGCTGAAGCAGAAGCACCAAAATTAAATCAGAGCAAGCTGCTGAAATACCAAAAGGACCACAAAACTATGGGTGAAGCGTTGCCTTTTCTAACCCATATTACCTTAGAGTGGTATTTAATAGTTAGCAAGTCAAGGCAAAGCACTAACTAATAAAGGGTTATTAGACTTAAGGAGATATTTGCAACTGTAAATATCTTCTGTATGGAAGCAAGAAAGATCAAAGTGTAGTTGGAAAATGGTGAGAATTCCAGTTACCAGGTAAATCTAGTTCATATTTAATAAGAAAAACCCAGAAAGAAAGCAAACTCATCAAAAATTGGGATTCATTTCTATTGTACCAAGACAGCTCCTTTAATGTCAACCTTCCTTAAAGGTTTATATTGAAATAATGGAAGTTTTTGGAGACTTAGTTTAGCCAAAGACACAGAGAGTAAGCAAAGATCTTACCACTTTCTGCTAAAGCAGCAGCCACTTCATTGAGAGTGGAATAGATATTGCAGGCGGCCCATCGGCACTGAGCTCCCAAGGCACCCAGAGTTTCCATGAGCACCTATATTAAAGGGAAAGCAGGAGATGAGCAACTTTTCCATAAATCTGTTTATTTCAAGTTTTAAACATATTTTTAAAAATTTAACCCACTGATTTGATCCTGATTTATTTTATTATATATTTTAAAATATATTTTATTGATTTTTTTATAGAGAGGAAGAGAGAGGGATAGAGAGAAACATCGACGAGAGAGAATCATCGATCAGCTGCCTCTTGCACACCCCCTCCTGGGGATGTGCCCTCAATCAAGGTACATGCCCTTGACCAGAATTGAACCCAGGACCTTTCAGTCCGCAGGCTGACACTCTATCCATTGAGCCAAACCAGTTTCAGCCTGATTTATTTTACTTTAATATTTAAAATAGAGATAGCAATCTTTTTAAGAAGGTAGTATATCACCCTACTGCTTTAATTAAGAGCTATTTTAACAATGATAAAGTTTTGGTTTAAAAGCTTGTTTTAAAATTTCCTGAGAGTGGTTAACTCTTGAGTACTGCCAATTTTCATTTAAAAATTTTGTATTTATTATATTTTTATTTATTTATTTTTATTGATTTTTTACAGAGAGTAAGGGAGAGAGATAGAGCTAGAAAAGTCAATGAGAGAGAAACATCTACCAGCTGCCTCTTGCACATGCCCTACCGGGCATGTGCCTGCAACCAATGTACATGCCTTTGACCGGAATCGAACCTGGGACCTTTCAGTCCACAGACCGACGCTCTACCACTGAGCCAAACCGGCTTCGGCTTAAAATTTTGTATTTAGTATATTTCTATAATGTAGAAAAACAGTCCCCTATCATCCCATACTTCAGAATCCTATGCTATAGTATATTTCTATACTAAATGAAAATTCTAATAAAAAATATCCTTTAGCCAGGACCGGTTTGGCTCAGTGGATAAAGAGTCGGCCTGCGGACTGAAAGGTCCCAGGTTCGATTCCAGTCAAGGGCATGTACCTTGGCTGTGGGCACATCCCCAGTGGGGGGTGTGCAAGAGGCAGCTGGTCGATGTTTCTCTCTCATCAACATTTCTGACTTTCTGTCCCTCTCAATTCCTCTCTGTGTAAAATCAATAAAATATATTTTAAAAAAATCCTTTAATATAAAAAAAAAACACTTGTAAACAGCTTTAATTAAAAAAAAAAAAAAGCCACACACACAACACTTGTAAACAACTCCACTAATGTAGGCTAATCCCCTCATATAATTTGTCCAAGACCACACGGTAAATTAGTAGCAGAACTACTCATATCTCTAAATTTCTAGTCTATACTACCTTTCAGTATCTAATTCCATTTTCCCCCCTCTTGTTTTCTTTTTTTACCTTAAAGAATTTCTAAAGTCCTACAACTTAGGAATTCTGAATTTTTCAAACAAAAGAATGATACAGAGACTTACCTACAAAGCAACATAAATTAACTATATGGTCTTAGATGGTTTGGCTCAGTTGCCTATGGACCAAAGGTTCCCAGGTTCGATTCCAGTCAAGGGCACGTACCTCGGTTGCAGGTTCCTCCCTGGCCCAGACCCTGGTCGGGGCTCCTGCAGGAGGCAACCAATCTATGTGAGACACATTAATATTTCTCTCTTCCACTCTCTCTAAAAATCAATGGAAAAATATCTTCAGGTGAGGATTAAAAAAGATAATAAAATAAATTAATTAACTATAAAAGTCATTGAAACCAAGAATATAAAAACTATTCAAAGAACTTTGAGTCAAGACTGATGGCTATTAGGGCACAAGCAGGAGTGAAGGCAGGTAGAAGTGAGATGAGGACAGACAGAGCTTAAACCCAACTTTAAATCATTACCATTTAGAAGAAGTAGACAGGAAGTCTGGTTAGAAGGACCTATGAAACATACCTAAAACTATAAATAATCCAAGTCCACTAGAAACATGGGTAGGAAACTGTTAACTATAATAGATATTTCTGAAGCATTGGATTATAGGAGACTGTTTTGTTTTGTTTTTCTAGAGAGATTGTTTTTCTACATTATAGATTGTGATGTTTGCATATTGTAAAATAAACATAATTACTTTTGTAATCAGAAAAATAGAAACTAAAAATAAAACAGCAAAATTCCTTTGTAATTTTTAAAGGAGAAATAAAAAATGTGGGAAGGGTACATTAAAATGTTAAAATTGGTAAACGGGTATTAACTACCCGATTAGAAAAAAATCTTTATTGTTGAAAGTATTACATATGCTCTCCCCCCCCCCCCCCCCCCCCCCACTGACCTCTTCTAGTCCCTCCTCCCCCACCTAGGCCTTCACCACCCCATTGTCTGTGTCCACTGGGTATGCATATATGCATACAAGTTCTGAGGTTGATCTCTTCCCACCCACCCACCCTCCCCCGCCTTCCCTCTGAGATTCCACAGCCAGTTAACTCTGATTTTGATTACTCCAGGAAAAGCAGAACGGAACTCTGATGAAAGGGTGGTGATATTCAGTGAGCCAGTAGGTAAAAAAAAACTTCGATATAATTTAGCAACATGAGACAGTACAGAAGCACTTACTATTTTAAGCCACCACACTGAAGTCTCATGTCCCTGCCTGGGGAAGCCCAACAAAGGTTCTAAGAGCGCTTCGGCCTCAATTCATTAGTCTATAGCTCCAAAAAGAGAGAGCTTTTCAATTTATCATATTAATTTTGGGCTGCCAAAGTACCCTTTTCCTCAGAGAACATGTAACCCAGGAAAAGTGTCATAGGGAAGATGCTAACAGCAAATGTCTGTGCCTTAAGGAATCTCTGCTGTTCTTAATGAGGAATGTAGCCAAATAAATGTAGTAGTTTCAGGAGACAATTTTTTGAAAGTTGATCTAGCCATAAAAATGACTGGATCTTGCCCTAGCTTATTTGGCTCAGTGGATAGAGCGTCAGCCTGTGGACTGAAAAATCCCAAGTTGGATATGGGTCAAGGGTACATGCCTGGGTTTTGGGCTTGATCACCAATAAGGGGTGTGCAGGAGGCAGCCAATCAATGATTCTCTCATCATTGATGTTTCTGTCTCTCTCCCTGTCCCTTCCTCTCTGAAATCAATAAATATAATATATGTGTGTGTGTGTGTGTGTGTGTGTGTGTGTGTGTGTGTGTTTAATGATCTGGACCTTATAAATTCTATAAAAGATTCCAGAGCATTTTCCAATACACCAATTTCCTATGTGATCTCATTGTGGTGAACAACTCAGTATCTATTACATATTTGATGGTGGTTAATCAGTGGTTCTCAACAGAGGAACTTTGGGAAACTGTAGGCATATTTGGTTATCATAATAATTGAGAGGGTAGTGCTACTGGCATTTAATGGGCAGGGCCAGTTTGAAAGTGCAAAAACAGTCTTTTATATCAAGAAGCCATGCCACACCTAGTTCATTGGAATAATTTTCAAATATTCCAATGAATTAGCTGTATTACCTTGGACAAATTACTTCAACTCTCTGAGCCTCAACTTTCTCATTTATAACTTGGAACTAGGAGTACCTGCTTTACATGGCCATTATGAGGATTAATAAACTAATACTTATTAAACTCTTAACCTAGTGCTTGGCAAGTTGCAAGCACCTAATGGTTGGGGTATTATTAACTACTAGTGGCCCGGTGCATGGATTTGTGCACATTGAAAGGGAATCTGGTGTGGGTGAACCAGATTTGGGGCCGATAAGGCCCCGGCAACAAGCTAACCCATGGCTGATTTGGTGAGGAATCAGGCTCCCTCTTCCCTCCTCTCTGGGTCTGAGGTGTGGGAGAACCAGATTCAGGCCAAAAGGGCCCCAGCAGCAAGCTGTCGGAGTGTCTGTCCCCTGATGGTCAGTGTGCCAGTCGAATGGTCACTTAGGCTTTTATTCTCTATAATCCTATATAATAAAAGCTTAATATGCAAATCGATTGAATGGCCGAATGACTGATTGCTATGATGTGCACTGACCACCAGGGGGCAGACACTCAATGCAGGAGCTGCCCCCAATCTGGGTGCCAGCCAAGGCGGGTGCCAGCAGGGGGACCCCCTAATTACCCCGCCAGTCACCCCACAGATTAGTTCTGATCACTGGCCAGGTCTAGGGGCCCTACCCATGCATGAGTTTCATGCACCGGGCCTCTAGTACATATAGATTGTTAAGTGGAGAAAGGAAAAAGACTTACGGCAGTCTGAGCAGTGATGTGTGTGCAGCCCACAATTTTGGCTCCAGCCAAAGGTTTTTCTCCTTGAGCTCTCTTTCTCAAAGCCATCAGGGCCGGCATTTCTAAAAAGACCAAATATATACACAGCAATATTAGAGAGGAGGGAATGAGAAAGAAAGAATAAAGAGAAAATTTTATTCTCTTAAGATCCTTCCCCTGGTAAAATTCCCTGTCAGATTGGGTTTTTTAAGGGATCAGGATAATAAATCTGACCCTTAAGGGGCTTTAGAGGCAAATGCTCAGTGTTCTGATTTCCTGTACCCCAGGCCTCTTTATCTAGTCCCTCTCCCTTTTCCTTGTAGAGGAGTTCCTTGTAGACCCACCAGAGTTTACTCCCTCCCCACAATGTTTTCTGAGCTCAGATTGTTTTTTGTTTTTTTGTTATAAGTAGTCTTCCACATTACAATGAAATTTCATAAGCTACTAGGCCGCAGGACCAGGAAAGCGATTACTATGGACAAAAGGATACAGGCAGCTTGAGAGGAAAAGGTGCTTTCTTTCTTTACCTTGTTCAGCAATTTCAATTTCTCTTCGTCCAAACTCTGCCTGTTTTATGTTCTTGACACAGAAGTCACTGCTTCCCTTAGAGTTCTTTTGCTGCTTGTCCCTGGGAGATGTCTCATCATCAGAGCTATCTGTATATGATGCCGCTGAAAGGACAGAATAAAAAACCCTCAGGGGGAAAATGGCTTCATTTAAAATTCCAAACTATGGAGGGAACTGAGGCTCCTCTGGTCACCCAGCACTACACACATGTACACACCTGGTAAGCACCTGACTGACACTGTGGAGCTGTCCCCACCATCTTCTATGGAAAGTGCTACCCAGAGATCAGAAAGAGGAAGCCGAGAGGTGGTCCAAGACATTACCCCTGGATAGCATTAACTTGGAATCTAGGGCTGACTTTATTTTCAGAACATGTAGAGGTCTTTGGATATGCAAAAATAGAGAGATTACACCATGGTAGCAATAGGTTAAAGTTCTAAATGCAAGATCACGGTCATGAACCTAGGGGTTTCTGGGATTCTAGCTACCTTTCTTGGTCTGCTGCTTAAATGCCTGATGTAATTTGTGTTTTAGTACAATAACGAAATAGATAAGACCTAGAAAACAAGGAACCCATGGGAAAATAATTAAGAACCACACAAAAAGTGTTTGTCTGCCATAACAAAGCTTTCTTTTTCAAGGCTGGCTCTGATGAGGCTGAACTACGTCTGCAGACCCAATTAGACATTGACAATGAAGTATTCAGCCTGCTCTCCCTTATTGCTGGCCTCTGTTAGTCCTGCATTAGGCATTTTAGAATCCCAGAGAAATGATAAATCCTCTTTGGTATAATAAAATGCTCTCATGACAAACTCATTTAGCAATACACACTAGAAGGTGAAAGGTATGACTTTTGATTGTGGTTAATAGGCAGCAGCAGCTGCTGCTATTCCCATGACTAACTGAGGTCTTCCTAGTCTTCATTTAATTCTGTAGTTGATGGTTGTTTGCTGGATGATTTGAATCTGTTTCCTTCCTTGACTTATGTTTCAGATTCTGTGGATAGGTTCTTCCTAAGGAGTCATCAAGGTTGGGAGGAAGGTTGGGAAACATAAAGTATGGTCTATATATTTTCCAATTAGATAAGAAGTACTTCCATCACTTTTAAGAGGAGAAACCTGCAAAGTCTCATAGCCCCTAAGGTCTCTAGTACTCTGACCTACTTATATCCAGAGAATTAAGACATTTTTGGGACTTCTTAGCCAACAGTCTATCTCTGGGAGGGCTGTAAAAGGCAAGTCTGACCTTGCCCAGTTAATCAGGCATGGCACTACAAAATGTTTGGCCAGCAGGGGCCTCTGTCTCTCCTGGAGTTGGAAAACAGCCATAGAGCAAAGTCCTAACACGAGGCAACAAGAATGAGCCTGAGTCACAGTCACCAGGGAGGTGAGGAAATTAAAATCCCCAAAGAGACTTTTGTTCTCGAAAGGAGCTAACCTGTACAAAAAGTCTGTGGTTCTCCCTCCTAGGGTGAGTGAGAGCTCAAAGTACTTTTGGCAACAGAGCCCAGAAACAGCTTCCCGGGCAGTCACCTGCTTCACTAATCAATACTCAGAAACAGCTTATGAGTTGGAAGCTGAGGGAACCATGCTTCTACCACCCGAGAGAAGAAAATAACAGCCTTCCCTAACCCTGATCCAATTTACAGGATAATTGTTTTGAAGAAAGTGTTTACATTCAGAATACAGAAATTTCAAACCTTTTTCCAGAGCCATGATGATTTTTATGTCCCCAATGGCCATTTAAATATAGTGGTTATGTGTTCTGGCGTCAGACAGACTTCAGTTGAAGTCTCAGTTTCTGTTTCCAGCTGAATAAAGTGGAGATGATACTAAAACCTATTTAATAGGGTTGACAATTCATCCATATATTCAGTCATTCACACATTCAAATACACACAAAATTCAACAAAATTTTATTGCATATCTGCTATGTACCAGGCACATTCTAAGTGCTGGGGATAAGGACAGATATAGGCTGTCTTTACCTTCATTGAGTTTTCATGAAATAACTAGTTATAAAAGTAATCATTTTAGAGTTTTTCTTTCCTTGTGGTTATAATATGTAGTATGAAGCAGACTGTACAATAGGCAGAAATGGCTTTTCAAAGTCAAGTTATTAAGAAGATGAAATAAGATAATGTAAGTAAAGTGTTTAGTACAATGCTTGGTGTAAAGCACTCAATAAATGATACCTGATATTACCAGGTTTTATACATATTTTAAATGCAGTAGCACACATAATACTTCAAGGATCCTTATTCAGCTTTAGGATTTTGAATGGGAAAGGAATAACATACATACAATATTATTTAACAGGGTTTTTTCCTACCTCCTCCATTTACTAATCTACCCAAGCAGCAGGTGGCTGGGCTGGCAGTGATTGAAAAGGTTGAGGCTGGAGTCCTGACTCTACCCAGAATGGCTCTCCTCTCCTCTGCCTCTTTCAGCTTCTAAAGGTGAGTCAGGGGGTAAAAAAACAAACAAAAAACTACGACAAGACCCTCACATTTTCCCTTAAGAGAAGCACACTAATTTTTAACTTGAGTTGTTTACTTCCATCGCAAAGAAAAAAGTTTATTTATACCACCTTCCTATTCTAAAATGAGAAAAAGCACACCCAAAAACCAGTATTCTATTTCTTAACAGTAGTTAATTGGTTGTAGTTAGTTCAACCAATGTGTGGTGTTGTTTTTTTTGTTTTTGTTTTTTGGGCCAAAATGAATTTGTTTTCAAAGAGCCCTTGATATAGATCTGTTATCAGGTTAGAAAGAAAAATACCAGTTGTCTAGATTGTAAAAGTATGTGAATGTAAAAGGGCTGACAGGCCCATACTGAGTGTTACTTCTGCAAGCACAGTGGAAAGACTATTCCTGAACTAGTGTAACATTCATTTTTTAAATCCTACTCATTTCCGCCACTATATTTAAAGTACCACATTCATGAAAATAGCTGAGATAGTCTTAAACATTTTCCTGGGGAAAAATGGAGAAATGCAACACATCTGTATATACACACTTAAAAAGGTTCTAAAGTGTTTGTTCTTTAGAAGCCCAGAGTTTTAATTAAAAATGAATTCTGAAGCCCAGAGTCTTAATTAAAAATAAATGAGCAATCACCAAGGCAGTAACCTACTGAAGTACAGGCCTGAGACCTTGGCTCTTGCTTCACCTCTAATTAGTTATGTGATCAGTTTTCAATTTATCCAACTGTAAAATAGGTTATATAACAGAGTCCTCTCTCTCTTTCCTCTAACTAAAACCAAAAAAGTCTTATGAATAAATGAGATAATACCAAAAAAGGTTTAACTCTAGATAGAAATTAATATAAAGTACAATGTAATGTTCCCATGAGATGTTGTCTTATTTCATGATATCGCAGAATCAAAGCATAACTTGAGGAATCACTAATTCACAATCTATCCTATTTAACATGCATACATATGTTCTAGGGCTCACACCTGATGAAGTCTTACCTCCTAGCAGCTGTGATATTGTGGGTTATTGCTAGGAGAAGAAGCAGTCAGACTCCTGGTTGAATTAGTCCTATTAGGCTATTTTAAGTCAGGCAATTCCTCTTAGGCCCAATCTATTCATTTGGTAATGGAAATAACAGTAGGGACCTGTGTGTCAATGTGCAGCAGATTTCACTGATGAGTAACACTCTAGAAACATGTGAAAAGCTATGTTAGCAACCAAAATACAAATAAACAAAATGTTATTATTTGAAAAATATTGGAATACTTCAATCAATTATGACCTAAGAGACTGCAGTCTTTCCTTCTTATCCTTAACCAATTAATTCCCTGCAAAGACAGCTTTTTCAGAAGTGTATTACTGAGAATGATCTGGCTTTGAAGAAACATCTTCTGCTCATTTATTTTTATGAGGTTTTGTGTTTAGGGAGAGAGTTTTTAGAAGGTTTTTTTAAAATATATATAAAATAACTTTAGGGATTAATGTAGCCTTTTTCAAGCTAGCATTAGCCTTGAAGCATCCATTAAATATAGGAATTAACTTCTCTTCTATGCATCTCAAAGGATACTAGTTAGTTCATCCTTTGAAGAACTAAGAAAAACAGTCTCTCACCATTTTCTGTGTTCTGTGATTCAGATGAGGAAACCTGGTTGAGAAAGCCTGGCAGAAGTTTCTAAACGAAAACATTTTGTAATGTCATAAACCTTCTTTTATCTGTTTATGTGCACAGAGTAGATCAGAGACCTCAACAAGGGAGTAAAGTATATTAAAATCTCTGGACACCTTTCACCAATATTTACTCATTGAGCATCTCTCATGTATCAAACACAATTCCAAGTGCTGGAAACAGAGCAATATAAAACAAGCAGAAATCTCTGCTCTCAAGGATCTCATGTTTAAGAAGAAAGAAGATAACAATAAATTAGTAAAAATATATGTTATATGGTAAGTGCTATGGAGAAAAATTTGATAGGGAGTGTTGGGTGGGTTGTTTGTACAATTTTATTTTTTTATATTTTTATTAATTTCAGAGAGGAAGGGAGAGGGAGAGAGAGAAACATCAATGATGAGAGAGAATCATCAATCAGCTGCCTCCTGCACAGCCCCTACTGGGGATTGAGCTTACAACCCAGGCATGTGCCCTTAATTGGAATTGAACCTGAGACTCTTCAGTCCAAAAGCCAATGCTCTCTCCACTGAGCCAGGGCTGTTTGTACAAATTTAAAAGAGAAGCCAGGATAGACCTATTTTGAGAGGGGATCTTTTGTCAAGAACTGCAGGTAAGCCTTAACCGGTTTGGCTCAGTGTCAGCCTGCGGACTGAAGGGTCCCAGGTTCGATTCCGGTCAAGGGCATGTACCTTGGTTGAGGGTACATCCCCAGTCGGGAGTGTGCAGGAGGCAGCTGAATCAATGTTTCTCTCTCATCGATGTTTCTAACTCTCTATCTGTAAAAATCAATAAAATATATTTAAAATAAAATTTTCTAAAAAAGAACTGGAGGTAAGACCCAGCTAGGGTATCTTAGAGCATTCCAGGCAGAGGGAATAGCAAGTGCAAACGTCTTAAAGCAGAAGAATTTCAAAATAACAAAATAACAGTAAGAAGGCTAGTCTAACTGGAGTGAAACAAATAACTGGGGGAGGCAGGAGGTTTGGAAAAGTAAAGATGTGATTAGAAATGTAATAGGAGGCTGAATGGTATACTTTGTAGGCCATTGTAAGAATTTTAGGCTATACTCTGAGTGAGATTGGGAAGCCATGGGGGATTCTGAGCTGAGAAGTGATATAACCTGACTTATCTTAAAATAATTAATCTTGCTATAGTATTGTCAACAGACTGAAGAGAGGTAAGGTTGGAACTCAGGAACTCAGCTTTTAAGATATGGGAGATTTGAGATGCCTAAAACACCCAAGTGAAAGGACTGATAGCAATTGAATACAAAGATCTAATATGTATGGGAGAGATTTCAGCTGGGGATAAAATTTGAGAATCATATGTCACTACTATGTGGTATTTAAAACTATGAAACTGAGGTTCATTGGGAAGGCAGGCATTAGTTTTTCTCTGCAGAAACACAGTTAGAAATATGGATCTAGTGTGTAGGGAATAAATTGAGTTGGAGTGAAAATTTAGTATAGTTATTATTTAGTATAATCTTTAGATAAACATGCACAAACTACTAGTCTAAAATGTTATACTCTGTTTTACAATTCAAATTTTCACAATTATTAAAGTTTCCAGAGTTATATTAGCTGGTTTATGAATTTTCAACACTGGTTATTTCAGCCGAGTAAGAGTGGTACCACACTTGGTGTCTGCAGACAAAAATCCATAGGAAATTATCTCATGTTTTTTTTTTTTTTTTTTTTTTTTTTTTTAATATATTTTATTGATTTTGTACAGAGAGGAAGGGAGAGAGATAGAGAGTTAGAAACATCAATGAGAGAGAGTCATCGATCAGCTGCCTCTTGCACACCCCCTACTGGGGATATGCCCGCAACCAAGGTACATGCCCTTGACCGGAATCAAACCCGGGACCTTTCAGTCCCCAAGCCGACGCTCTATGCATTGAGCCAAACCGGTTTCGGCTATCTCATGTTCTTTACATCATTCAGTTATTGTGGGGAGAAAGTAAAAAATGAATGTAAAAATGTAAACAACAATCTACCAATCTAAAAGTTAGTTTTCTAAACAGGCATTCTTCAAGTTTACATAATAAATACTGCTTTCCTAATTGTGTGAAGAACAAATAAAACTTCAGGTCAGGATGAAAACTTTCTAATGAATATTACTACTTCTAATGTGAAGAGACAACTCAGTTTCCTACTACATTCCACTATAAGAGCAAAATAAAATAGCTCCATATTAGATCAGATACATACTGGGCACTGTTGCACAAATAGCCAATGCCTTAAAGGGGTTTTACATGGTAACAGCTCATCTGGCATTAAATGATAAAACTCAGGGCACATATATTTGGAATAGTGCCACTGCAAAGGAAGAAAGGAATAATAAGCAATACAATATCACAGCTTAGAAGAGAAGGCAAAGGGCTCACTTGAACTAGCTACAACGTTTTCGTGTTTGTTGGGGCAATTAAGGTTTCCCCATTAATATGCAAGTACCAGCTGGAAGGACAGGGAACCCCTCTTCTATTTTCAAAGAAAGGAAAAAAAAGTCTTAACACATGTTGTTTAGTGAAGGTGGTCAGTGAGCAACATACTCCTTCCCACCCTCTGAATAAATCAGAACTCAATTTCCTTAATCACCTTCTTCTACCTTTATTGGAAAAAGAGGCTTCTGTTAAACTCCACTCTTAATCCCCAAGAGCAAGCATATCAAACTCGCGGCCCATGTGTCACATACCATGTTTATTTGGCCTGCGATAACCTTTGAATTTGACATATTTGCCCAAGAGGAATCCAAAAATTCCATCTAGAATTTTGGTCTAAATTTCAACTTAGAGACAAAGTGTTTATTCCAAAGCACAGGCTTGACCATGCTTAATTAGCCTTGGGTAGGCAGTGGGGTCGATTGGTCCTACCTCCACAGCTGAGTCCATAGAAGTTCAGTACTCACCTGAACTGTAGCTGTCAGTAGACGACTGAGAAATGGAACGAGACAGAGAGCGACGTCCAATTTTGGTGGGACGTTTGTTAAATTCTTGCTTCTGGTCAGCAAACTGGATCTGCTAAGAAAAAGGACTCTAGTTACATAAAGGAAAACAACCTCTGCTTTGAGATAACATTTCAAGGAAGTTGATCTAACTGTAGCAACCCACCTTGAGAATGTTAACACTGGAGAGAAGAATGATTTTTCATTCTTTACTTATTATATTTCCTATCAAATTTAAAATATTCAATCCACTCTCTGACTATATGCTTTTATTTTATTACTAGAGGCCCAGTGCCTGGATGTGTACACTGGTGGAGTCCCTCAGCCTGGCCTGTGCCCTCTTGCAATCTGGGACCCTTCCGGGGATGTTGAGGAGCTGGCTTCGCCCTGATCCCCGCAAGCTAGGCTGAGGGACCCCACCGGTGCACAAATCTGTGCACTGGTCTCTAGTATGCATGTTAAGATCTTTGGTTAATCTCTTCCCTCTCTCCCCTCTCTCCCCCTCTCCCCCTCCCACCTTCTCTCTGAGATTCATCAGTCTGTTCCATGTTCCCATGACTGTGGTTTCCACTCCTTCATTGAGCATCTGCCCCCTGGTTGTCAATGTGCATCATAGCTACTGGACGGTCACTTAGGCTTTTATATACATAGATTATTGTTATTTTTTAAAATCCTCACCTGAGAGAGTGGAAGGGAGGGAAGAGGGAGAGAAACATCTACTGGTTGCCTCCTACACATGTCCCCACTGGGGTCAGGGATTGAACCTGCAACCGAGGTATGTGCCCTTTGACTAGGAATCAAACCTTCGACCCTTTGGTCTGTGGGCTGACACTCTAACCACTGAGCAACCAGCCAGGGCTATATGCTTTTTACAATAAAATTGTGATGAGAGAAAGGGGGGAAGGGGGGAGAGAGGGAGAGAGAGAAAGGGAGAGGAAGAACGGAATTTCTGATTAAAATTAATTTTTAGAAAGCTGAGTCATATTCAGAAATTTTTTCTATAGTTTTGCTGAAAAGAATTTTGAGACTATTCCAATTTTCACCTATCTAGATGAGAAACTGCAAGGTACAGGAGGGTAAAGTGACTTGCCTTCAAGGTTTTAAGATTCTCAGGAAATGGTTTGGTATAATGAAAAAATAGATAGGCTTTCCATTCAGACAGAACGTTCCTGAGACTGCATTAAAAATAATGGCTATGGCCGAAACTGGTTTGGCTCAGTGGATAGAGCATCGGTCTGTGGACTGAAAGGTCCCAGGTTCGATTCCGGTCAAGGGCATGTACCTTGGTTGAGGGCACATCCTGGGGGGGGGGGGGGGGTGTACAGGAGGCAGCTGGTTGATGTTCTCTCTCATCAATGTTTCTAGCTCTCTGTCCCTCTTTATCTCCCTTCCTCTGTGTAAAAAAATAAATAAATAAAAATAAATCAATAAAATATATATTTAAAAAAAATAATGGCTCTGCTGAAACTGGATTGGCTCAGTGGATAGAGCATCGGCCTGTGGACTGAAAGGTCCTGTGTTCAATTCCAGTCAAGGGCATGTACCTTGGTTGCGGGCTTATTCCCAGTGGGGGGTGTGCAAGAGGCAGCTGATTGGTGATTTTCTCTTATTGATGTTTCTAACTCTCTACCCCTCTTTATTCCTCTCCGTAAAAATCAATAATAATAATAAAAAAAAATAGAATCACTTCGTGCATGATTTACTTAAAAAAAAAAAAATGACTATACCGCTCACTAGCTATGTGATGTTGGTCAAGATGTTTCTATTAGCCTCATTTTCTCATAAATACAGCAAAGATGGAAATGCCTCACAGGTTTTAGAGAAACAATGTATGGGCATACTTTGTTTTATTGTGCTTCACAGATGTTGCATTTTTGTTTTTGGTTGGTTGTTTGTTTATTTAAATTGAAGGCAAGACTCTCCACCAGCAAAAGATCACAATTCTATTGTGATAGCCTGGAAACAAACCTCCCCCCCCCCATCTCTGAGGTACATCTGTAGGTAAACTGTGAGACATAACAGGAGATTCAGTAAGTCCACTCCCCCACTCCAGCCCCTACAGTTTACAAATCTTCTTATAGCTCTTGCAGATAGTCATTATAGTTTTTAAAGATGTATGAATTAGCTTTTTAATACTAGTAAGTATAGTAAACATTAATTTATTATTTTTAATGCTTGCTATAAAATATCTAAAAGTCACAAGAGTGATCATTTATCCTATCTAATGAAGAGGTAATATGGAAATTGACAATCACTCCAACACCCAAGATGGCTGCCCCCATGTGGTAAAAGATAGCCAGCGGGGGAGGGCAGCTGTGGGCTATCAGGCCAGCAGGGGAGGGCAGTTAGGGGTGACTGGGCTTGAAGGGGAGGGCAGTAGGGGGTGACCAGGCCAGCAGGGAAGGGCAGTTAGAGGTAACCAGGCTGGCAGGGGAGTGATTAGGTGGTGATCAGGATGGCAGGCAGAAGCGGTTAGGGGCAATCAGGCAGGCAGGCTAGTGGTTGGGAGCCCACAGTCCTGGATTGTAAGAGGTCCCAGGTTGGAGAGTGTTCAGGCTGAGCTGAGAGACACCTCACCTCTGAACACAAATTTTGTGCACTGGGCCTCTAGTTAACTATAGTATGACAGATGTAAAGGAGTGAATAAGTGTACTGAATATGTATAAACCTCAATACTCGAGATTGCATTTTGGACACTATCTGAAAATGAATTTCTTGCACTTTTATCTTTCTCTTGCTGTTGGAGGTTCTGGCTGCTATTTTTTAATACTTTATCAATCAAAGCTCATATAATTTGAACAAATATATTTTTTCTTTTCCCCTAATTGAAAATTTGCATTAATTGCTTAAATGATTCTGGATCCCAGGTGGCAAGGAGGCAGGAAGCACCTAAGATCTGACAACTGGTTCTACCTTTCATAATAAAAAGATGATTCCCCGATGGGCAGAACACAGATACAGCATATGAAAATGAGAGAGCAACTGACCTCCATTTCCTGCAGCTAGAGGTAACTATCGTACTACCGTGTTTCCCTGAAAATAAGACATCCTCTGAAAATAAGACCTACTTACAGGTTTCCTTCTGAGTGAAATATAAGGCATCCCCCCGAAAATAAGGCCCCCCCTAGGCTATCGCTAAACATGAGAGATTTGGTCCACTGATTCTGAAAGAAATGGAGTCACAAGAAATTCACCAGGAAATTCAGGAATCGAATTGTTATGATGATGTTCCAGAAGATGATGACATGATTGTCATTGAATAAATGAGTAAATTCTTGATACTGTAGGATTCACAGTTTGTCTGGTTTGTGTTGACAACTACCGTACTACTGTACCGTATACAAGTAATAAACTTCCTTTATTTTCATTTAACAATAAATGTGTACCCTATTCTTCATAGAAAAGTAAGACATCCCCTGAAAATAAGACCTAGCACATCTTTGGGAGCAAAAATTAATATAAGACACTGTCTTATTTTCGGGAAAACAGGGTAAGTCATTTGAGTATTGAGACAAAGGAACCAATGACAAATTTAATTAGATTAGCATGTCTTTCAGGGGAATTCATACCATTTTCATAGCTGTAGCAACATAGAAAGCCTATGCAGCATTTCCAAGCTGTAAATTATTTTCAGCAATAGGAAAATTCATTGGATTACAAGTTCTTTGCAAAATAAAAAGGGGCAAAACTGATTATTTTGCTAAACAGGTAAAGTGCCCTTTCTATGAACTCCCATGGGATATACATGAACTTCCATGTACGTCTCCAATTATAGCACTTATCACACTGAACCCTGTATAAGCAACTGGCTCCATAAAGGCAGGAGCTATGTACTAAGGGTGACCTTTCATTCTCAGACACCAATGCCTGACACATGGTAGGCAATCATGTGCTGAAATGAATCTGAAGTAGCCTGGTCGAACTTCACTGTCCGTACATGGTTGAATATTAAGTAAACATGGTAAGCATAAACCAAGCTTATAGTTAAAAGAAGTTTTAAGGGCAAAAAAGTTGGGAAGGGGAGGAAGGTGGGTGTGAAAATGGGGAGGAGGATAGCAGTCAAGCTCAAAACTGGTTTGCATTTCATCAACCTTGTTTAAGACAATGACTTGTCTTTATTCTTTTTTAGAGGCCCATCTAGGAAAAGGAGTAATAACTGTCCTTCCAAAAGTCACAATGAGTCACTAACTTTAGCAGTGCCTTCTTAAAACAGCAAAAAGAGAGTAACAGACAAACCCGCCCTGAGGCATGTGAACAACCCCCTCCCATCCCACAGGCCACTAGAGGGGGCCACTCACTCTGCTTCTCTAGGATCAGGGGTGGGTGGGCACACCCCAATAACACTAAGCCATAGCTGCATCATCATCTCACACCATTTTCCCTAAGCTAAGCTCCATTCTCTATTCTTCTCTATTTGCAGTAATTCCTTCTTCCGTTTAGGTCAAGTTTAGGCTGTTTTTGGCACTACAGAAGACTATGTAGGCTTTTTCACTCAGAGGCAGAGAGTACTAAAAGTTGTTTACTTGTTTGATACTTAACTCAAGTTTCTTTTGTACAGAATATTAGAGACTAACCACTACATAGAATGTTATACCATTTTCTGGAGAAATTAATGTTTATCTCTTACTGATAACCAGAGCATATGTTTTAAGTCGGTCATCCCTGTTGCCCACCTACCCTAATAGTTAAATACTATATACATTCCTTACTCAACAGCTCACCTTGTAACACTCAACCTCTTGTAACACAGTAGTCTATCCACTCCCGGCAGGCGTATTTTGGTAGATCCTATCCCTAATTTTCTATGTGTCTGAAATCAGAGAGTCCTTCAAGGTAATCCACTTTTTTCCCCAGAGAGAACTGCCTAATTTCAACAAGCATCAAGATAAGGAAAGGAAAGAGACTGCTAGGAGAGGGGCAGCTCACCTTTTGCCAGAAGGAGGGATGAAAGCAGGAAAGGAGGGAAAAAGCAGCTGGCCTTTCACATTAACGGTCATCACAGCAGCAAGACTGGAAAGTAAGAGCTTAGCCTCACCTGGGCTTTAATCCCAGATTTGCCACTGACAACGTATTTCT